CGCCTATGATGTTCCAGGTGTCCATGGGCGATGTCGATTTCTAACCATCAGGTGATCCGTCCTCATAAACATAATTATATTTTCATCATCATACCTATCAGCCGCAAAATGTCCACATAGATCTACCGCAAGGACTTCCGAAGAATAGCTTTAATATACGTTACGAGTAGGTATAAATGGTGGTGGGATAATACGTATAATACGAAGTACTCTAAGAAAATCAATTCAATCTGACGATTACATAATATGTATTTACATTTCTAAAGGAAAACAGTTTGCATTAAACTTTGATGGCTAAACGAGTAAACGGGTAAGCATACGTAATATAGACGATAATGATAAATTAATGTGACATGTACATTAAGAATAATCGCGTAATAGTTCTATTCTATATTACACGTGTTACTTTTGACGTAAATGAAATGAAAGATGAATAAGGAGAGATGTTTGTTTTAATTAATTATGGTTTAACAATGCAAGCTAATGAAGCTATGTAGGAAGTGCTATGGAATGAAAAGAAAATACTCGTATGGCATCAAAGAACGAAAACCGAACTGCATTTCATGATGAACAGTGTAAAGGTCAAGACAGTATGTAGGTATCTAATCGAGAACAAAAAATGAGTTACTAGGTGTATCACCAGTCAGTTCCTTTACAATCTCCCACAAAGTAATGCATTTCAATACTTCAATTTGAATTGGGCGATAGTAGTCGATCAGGTGTTCACAGGTCACTATAGTGTAAATAGTATAATGTTGGGAGGAAATGCTCCTAACAACATTAAACACGATAAAATTAAAACATACATAATTACTAATAACAAGAACTTATAGGAAGATACGATAGGAAATAAGAATCTTGTAGATGTAGACAATGAGATAATTACTTCTCAAGCTCTAGCGCCATATATGGCTGCGGTAACTGTCTGTGTATATTCCTGTTATGGAAACATTCGCGTAAATGCGGTAATAAATGCCACCGAAGCGCTTATTAATAAATACTTTTGTTCGTCTAAATTGTTGCTTAGTACAAATTAGAAAACGTTTGTTAATAATAAGACTCTGTAGGAAGCAAACCTGGAATTTGTTTTGTTCTCTATTTTAATTTAACCTAATGTTATGTTATGGACTCATAATTTTAACTATTGCTGAGAATTTCTTAATCGAAAATACTCATGTACTACAATCATACTTCAGTATCGAGATCATATAAACGTAAAACATTATTTTTATGGCCAATTCGGAAATGAAGGCAAAAAGTAACTATTGCATGCAACTAAATTAATCGATTAATATACCATCAATGCAATCAATCTGTACTGCCTATAAATCAGAATATTTGGTTTTAACGAGCCAATTTATCAATAAACTTATTAGACTCACATACTCGTAAACCGTTACTATTAAGACCGCACACTACATGCAACGCAAACACCAATAACCATTCAAAGCCGATTTTTTCTTATTTCTGCCTCTGTCTCAAGCTGCTTGATCTTAACAATATGTACCTGGACTTCTTTTCCATTCTCCCTAATCAGATGTTTCATATTATTATCATTCTTCAAATTATCCCTTCCATTCCGTTCCATATCATTCTTTACATTTTTCATCATTTATAGTTTTATTTTTCCACATTATGATCAAGTACAAGAATTAACCGTTCAAAGTTCCCTTACATTCAGCGTATCAGTAGTTTTAAATAAATTAAAAAAGAAATTAATACGACTAATAATAGTCTTGATCAGACCCTTTCCAACTTCCCGATCTCGATCAACATCGCATTGACCACGTTTCTATACGACATGAACAAACCACTGACCACATGAACAGGCACGTAATGACACATAACTAGAGACGCCATTATAGCAAATTATTGCAACACTACCACTCGAATATATTTCCATACATTGCCTGGCTTTTACTGACAATCATTTTGTTCCGTAGTTACACCACGCAATGTCTTTGTTTACATTTTGTCACGGTATCGTCAGTAGCTTTTTAATGTTTATTGAATGACATGGTAGCAACTGTTGTTTCTAAAGATGTAGATTTGTGACTTGAGTGAAGGTATAATGTCAATCTATTCTATGGCTTGACAACGCACTTTGTAAGTCTTCTAGTATTGCAACGTACAACCCACTTTAGATACGATCAGATGAACCGTCTTTTTTTTAGGGGAAGAAAATCATCGATTGACTGCTCCCGCCTGGGTGAGGCGGGAGGGAGTGTCAGACTCTTACTAACTAAAAACCACCCCGTTCCTTCTCGTTACCCGTTAGGCCACCCCGTTCCTTCTCGTTACCCGTTAGGTTCTCCGGGACTCCAAATCGGCATCAGCCCTGTTGGGCCCCATCTGTGGTGGTCTGATACCTCTTTGAGGCGCGCGCGGAACGCGACGCGCCGTACGCTCGGGTAGATGACCCGTCTGCTCGTTTTTCTTCTATCCACAAATATAATAAAAATCCTATCCTTATGGGAAAATGACATCTAATAGTTTTTAATGTACAATTTTTTGTTTTATGACAATCTCGTTGGTCAAGGAACTATTCCCTACTAATAAGTGTAGTGTTAGATAGTTTTTATCTAAATTCTTAGTTATAAACAAAACATGCCCAATATGGGCAAACCAGAGTCAGTGCTCTGGTTTGCCCCGTGTGTCTTGTAAGTGTGACTACTCTTTTTGAAGGGAGATATTTATCCAATGACTTCTCCAGCATCGGGTGGGACGAGAGAGTGAGCTGGTTCCAGCAACCCTTTAAGTTGTCCGTATAACTTCGGGAACTAATAAGTCTTAGAGTTACATAATATGATAATACATATGCCTAGACAATACTTAGTCTTAATGATGACATAAACAAAACCCATTATCAACAATGTCAGATAATTTTATTCAAACGAGAACATATCTATCAAAAAGGATTTATAGTTCACACTACACTTCATTCAATCTTATTGACTATTCATAAGAGAAATTCAACAATCGGCTCGACATTGTGACACAAAGTTAGACAATATACGAGTAAAAGCATTTTGTGGTTACAACACACTGTTAATGCAATTGTAATGTGTATTGTGTAGCATGTGTCAATGTGCGCTTGTAAGTTGTGTAGTTTATTAGGTTCTTTATGACTAGTTCGTACACTATTGCTTCTTAACATTGGATTTATAACTAAGCCATCAACGCACCGACTGCCTCGTTGGCCGATTGGTCGCAAGCGCGACTACCGGGCAATGGGTCTCGGGGTCGATTCCTGGGTCGGGAAAGTATTAATGAGTTTTTAAAAAAATCTCTGTAGTAGCGCGGAGTCTGGAATTGTGTCCGGTATTGCCGGTATATGGCAATAGGCTCTCCCCCTATATATGGGACTAATAACATAAATAGTGAAAAGTGAATGTTACATTATAGTGGCATTAAGTACCGTAATGTGCACCTCTGCCTACCCCTTCGGGGATAAAAGGCGTGACGTTATGTGTTTGTATGTACCATCAACACAATTTGTAACTCCTTTTCTGGTGTTGTGAATCCACAGACTGTGCTGATCACTTAGATACCGTCTGGTCTTCATTTGTCCCCATCCCACGAAAACACATATTTAGTCCTACACTATAGGACTATATACTTCATAAACTAATATGTTAAAGACATGAGTCAGAAACCTTTAAAACAATTCCAATATTATATCAATTTCTTCGTGCTGTTATGTATTATGAAAAGCGTAACTAATAACAGAAGTCACCTACATGTTATACTTGTCACGTTAAACACAGCTAATCTGTATCGATCACTTACATAATCGAGAGAGTGAATCGATTCATTTCACTTGGCAACCCTATAACAACCATAGCATGCGTTCAGAAGCATTAAACTGATTAGACACCGAGAACCTAACCAACCGGTTTGTGACTCGTTCTTAAATATGGACAGTTGACAGCTGCTCTACAAAATAATTATTATACTCTTCCTATTATGAAGGTTGTTCTACCATTGTTATTAGCTACCTACTATCATATGTATAGTAGATGAAAAGATCAGGAAGAGACTTACGCCCGAATACTGAAATGCTACTCTTTAAGTTGTGCTTTAAGATCATGCGATCTCTGTCACTTTCCAAAGAAGTTGTAGTGACAGAACTATAGTTAAGCGCGTCTTTAAATTGAGTAGCCTTTCAGTATTGGGGCGTTAATCTGATGATGAAATGAACTGATTAGATTCCTAAATGTTTACAACTCTTTTTAAGAAAAGAGCGTATTTCTTTTTATAAGGCCGGCAACGCACCTGTGACTCCTCTGGTGTTGCGGGTGTCCATGGGCGGCGCTGATCGCTTACCATCAGGCGATCCGTCTGCTCGTTTCCATAAAAAAACTGTGACGTCACATTTTTTATAAAATCGTAATAAAAGCCTTAATAATGTCTCTTATAAGTTTAAAAACACTCGACAACGAGTTAAAAAATAAACTAACGAAATACTAACTTTGTTGAACATAATTTAAAGTGCTCAAGTAGAGGTACTTCATATACCATATAAAAAAACTTCGTATAAATCCGCCTTCTTTCATAAACCTTCACAGACGTGAAACCATTCATTAATTAAATTTATTCAAACAGGAACCATACAGGTCTACTGTTTAAGGCGACAGATTTCTTTATTAAAACGTCATACACATTATACACGCAAGTACTTATATTGTTACAAAAATATGTCGCTAGCTACACAACGTCAATCGCTTTTTTTACGCCCACAGAATTAGCATGAACTAAAGCTACCTGAATATCTAATAGATGGCATCGAATATCGGTAGATACTCGTATCAAGTATCATTTGCATTGTTCCTTAATGAAACTGATCAGTCAAGGTCCAGACTGATTATTAGAGATCAGCGACTGAGTCCTTGTATGTCATGTAACTGCTGACCTCTTATGTTATATGTCCAGTTTCCGATAAGTTCAAACACAAAAAATAATAAGGCACATTCTCATACAACTTACTTTGTTTGTTTCAGATGACACAAAAGACTTGAATGCAGAATCATCAGAAATAATATCAGAAGCAGTGGCACCACCTCCTGGTCTTGTACAACAGTACCAGGAGCCTGAAGCTGCAGCCACAGACGACCACACTGACCACTCCATAGAACTCGTTGGAGGCTCACAGACATTCTTCCCGACATTCGCTAACCTCTTCGAACCACGCCAACAAAACAACTTCAGACTCGGCGGCTTCGGCAACCAAGAAGGAGCCTACAGTCAAAGACCCAACTCCTACAGATCTTTACTAAATTATCCTCTGTTCGGAGGCTACAATAGGAACTTAGAAAACTTCGGTAAACACAGCACACCCACCGCAGCTCCGCTCGTCGAAGCGAGCTCAAGTTTGCTTGGTTCAGGAAACTTTGGAATCATCAGAGGCGGAACATTCTTCGCTCAGAACGATGAAGATGAATTCGGAGATGGATACAACTCTTACTACAATAACGGTCATGGTAGACCTTCATACGAACTTGGGTACATAGCGAATCCTAGACCGAATTACAACCAAGACCAGTTTGCAAACTTCAGAGACTTCGCGGACATCAACACTCCTTCCAACTCAGCTTACTCTCACTACGTAGTTGTGTACGCAAACAAGAATTCCACAATGGACGAAATCAGTGAGGAAACGAGAAGAGTATTATCCAAGCCTAAGAATATAATTGAGACGCTAGAAAGAATTGACAAAACAACAAGCGCACCAAAGTTATCGAAAGCCAAATCAAAATTGGAGGCGACAAAGCAGAAAATGTTGAACAAAAAAGAGCAATGGAAAAAAACTAACTCAAAATTCGTCAGTCAAAAACATGATGCGGAAGAACCTTTACTAGCGTTAAGTTAATTTAGTGTAAATACAAAGACTTGCGTTATGTAAGTGATTGAATTAAGTGAAGTACCAGTAGGTGATGTCAGTGAAGTGTCGCACTCTGAGTGTGATGAGAGAGCTGGTTGTCTAAATTTAATTATAAATATAAGTTTGTGGACAAATTGTGTAAATGGTTTCGTGCACATGCGATGAATGTTTGCAAATGATTGTAAATGTATTAATATTAATGACGAATAATAAATTAATTTTTAAATATGTGTTCTTATAATTATTTGTGTAACTGATCCTCTGTAGGTACTAGGTGCGTATTATTGTACCTTGTTAGCGATGTACACACGAACAGTAACTTGTCGTTATCAAATATGTTGTAAGTAGACTGCAGTTACAAAAGTGATCTAGATTCAACGAACCAAGGTGTTGCCAACGATAATTACAATTTAGGGGTACCTATCTGTACTCTTTCTAGACATGAGCAAAGCATTTGATCTAGTCAATCACAGTAAACTGCTGGATAAATGTGATCGGTATGGTATCCGCGGACCGGCTCAAGATTGGTTGCGTAGTTACTTAACCAATAGAACGCAGTACGTAGAGATTTCTCGAGTTAACGAAAAATTAGTCTCAGTATCTCACAAATCCTCGATTAAAATGAATGGAACAGGCGTACCACAGGGAAGCGTCCTCGGACCGCTTTTATTCCTTTTGTATATTAATGACTTGCCTAATATTACCGATAAAAAATGTGTCCTCTTTGCTGATGATATATCTGTTGTGGTGTCCGACACAGGAAAAGTAAAAGTAAAACCTTACGAGCAGGAAATAAATGAGACTTTGGAGGCCATTATACACTGGCTTCAGGACAATGATTTGGAAATTAATGTCTCCAAAACTAAATATGTTCAGTTTGCTAATTATAAGCGTAAACCACCCAGGCTAAATATCAGTTATTCAGGTCAATCGGTCTCTAAAGATAACAATATTAAATTCTTGGGTATTATACTAGACGAAAACTGTAATTGGAAACTACACGTAGAAAATGTCTGCAAGAAATTAAATAGATTTGTGTATGCACTTAGGCAACTACGCAAAACGACAAATGAAAGCTCAGCGCTATTGGCATATCACGGTTATGTGAACTCTGTGTTAAGGTATGGCCTGTTGTTGTGGGGCAATTCATGTGATATAGACAGAGCATTCATAGTTCAGAAAAAATGCATTAGGGCTATATGTGGAGTAGGACCATTAGAGACATGCAAACCGCTTTTCATAAAGCTGAGCGTTATGACTTTGGCATCTCTGTATATTTTTGAGATTGGTATGTTTGTAAGAAATTATAACTTGTTTAATAGAGTGAATGAAGATAGTAAGCATTTACAACGAGATGCATCCAAACTAAAAATGGATAATTGTCGCAGTACTCTTTATGGCAAGAATTGTGCAATAATGGCAATTAGAGTATATAATAAAATTCCTCGATCTATTAGAGAACTACCTTTGCGTCAATTTAGAATTAAGTTGAAAGCATGGCTAATTGAAAAATGTTTTTACAGTATTAAAGACTTTATTGACTATGGAATTGTAGAACGAAATAGATTTTAATATTAGGACATGTAATTTTACAGACATAATGTATTTGACATAATGTATCTTGCCTTGACATGTATTTAAAAAATTAATTTGACATTTTGGAATCATTATTTTGACATTACGTAATAATTAATCAATGAAATTGGATTTATATTCTATATTATATAAAGTGCCTACTATAAACAAACATTTGCATGCCTGGAAAAGGTGGAATACACTGTACTATTGAAAATTAGACTAAGATCCATTGTATCACATGTTCCTGCGAATAAATTTCTATTTCTATTTCTATTTCTATTTCTATTTCTATATTTTGCTCTTCTTAATAAAAAGTCGTCATAACGTTGACGTTTTAAAAATTATAATAACAACACCAGTAAATATTATTTAATTTATTTATTTGTCTCAGGCATCTTGGACCATAGTAAAAATACAATAATACAATACAAATAATTTAAGTTACAAATACTAGTCATACATCTACGTCTAATATAACTATATAATCTCGTCAAATTTAATAAGGGGATAGTTAATCAAACATAACATAACATCACGCCTTTTATCCTCGAAGGGGTAGGCAGATGTGCACATTATACCACTGTACAATGTAACACCCACTTTTCACTATTTATGTTATGAGTCCCATGTAATAGGGGGTGAGCCTATTGCCATATACCGGGCACAGTTCCAGACTCCGTGCTACTACTGAGAATTTTTAAAAACCCAGTAATACTTTGCCCGACCCGGGAATCGAACCCGAGACCCCTTACCCGGCAGTCGCAATTGCGACCACTCGGCCAACGAGGCAGGCAGTTAATCAAACACCTGGCATAATTCCTAACTCCGTGCCTACTACTGATGAGAAATTTTGAAAACACGAAAATGGTCTTTAACTAAGGTCACTAACCAAACCTTGAATCGATGTCAAGGGTCTCACTTACACAGCACAGCAGTCGCGCTAGCAGCCACTTTAAGGAACATCCTTCCATTCATCTATTTTGAATCAATAGTAAAGAAACATTGTGTCTAACGAGTTAATAACGAATACCTATTACCTTTAATATCTTGACGGAAGCGATTTAAAAAAAAATGTATTGTTAGTAAAATACATCTTTTATTACACAAAATCTTTACTTAAACAAATAATTCGATAAAGGAAGGGTATCTAAATGTTTGTAATTTATAACTTATCCTTTTTAAATAAAGAGTCTACTTTTTATAACGTTAAAAACATAGTATAGGTGGCATATGGGACGACGTGCTCCATCGTAGACCGCATCATCGCTTACTAACAGGCGAGATGGTGGTCAAACGTCGACCCATCAAAATTCAAATATAGATAAAAAAATTAAAAAAACGCACATACGATGTACTCTGACATCTATTGTCGAATAGCTGAACTGAAATATGAATCATACCAGTGTCGCCATCTATGTAGCTTAAAGTCAAACACTGATCTAACCATATGAAAAAATTAATTCATGCTCACAAATATTTAATTATTTTAATAGTTCGATTTATTTCTCAAATAAATTTAATTTACACTATTTTAAGGACATGGTATTCATAAAAATCTATTTGACCATAAACAAACGAGGTATCATGACAACAATATGTTCGAGAAAAAAAACAGATTAGTCTATGAAAAATGTGCTAAAGTGAAGACAGATGAACTGAAATGAATTTTTCTAATGAATTTTGCATAAATATAGTGTAAGAAATAACCAAATTTTATTCACACAAGGTGTTTAGTGTTTTTAGTGATATGCTAGCTTAAGAAGATAGCGTATTGTTGTGTAATTCGGCGTACGTATTTGAAGAATCATGTACTCCGGTAGGGATGCCGCAAATACTGCGTATCCCACGCAGTGGGCTCTAAATCCCACAGCATATCAGAATGTTGATACTAGTCATGTTGATTGGGCCGCTTTAGCGCAGCAATGGATTGCAATGAAGGAAGCGGCGGCGATTGTAACCGCGCCGCCGCCTCCTGCCCTGAGGGCGGAGGAAGAGGGCGAAGCGCCCATGGAAGTTGAGAACCCAGATAACAACTCAGACGGCCCTCCCGGTGCCGAGTGGAACTCCACAACCAACTCTTGGGGTGGATCTTGGAATCAATGGGGTATGGTATTATTATAAAATGTCTAGTAAAAATATCATTACTTTTTTAAGTGCTTCAGTCTTACATCTAAAACTCATTAGAGATTTTGGTTTAATAGCAAATGATTATACTAGATTCCAAATTAAAATAAAAATATCAAAACATGAATTTGTAGTTTGATCTGAATGTTTAAAATTGTACAACAAAATAATGATTTACTGTTGTAACAACCTTCAAGTCAACCTGCTATCAGGAATTGGATTTGTTTGGAATTATACACATGAATTTGAATTATACCTTCTGTTATGTAAATAACATATATAAACTGCATTGACAATACTTCATTCTATAACTGATTTGAACTCAGGATGTAATCAAAATATTATAGTATTAACTAATGAGAATTTGGAAATTGAAAGGACCTATTAATTAAACTAATATCTGTGTAGGATATCAAATCAGAAATTCCTACTAAACTATAGACCAACTAATCCGTAAAAGACAAATTAATAATTTCTAGGTAATCTATCTATCTGTATTCTGTATATATAAATAAATATCTAGAAATATTTCTCTAAATGAATAATTATATTCTTAGGTTGGGGATGGTCAGGTTCAGGGCCAGTGGAGCCTAAAATACCACCAGACCCTGCTATAGGTATACCTCCCCTCGTAGAAGGGTATACTGTACCCCCAGAAACAGCTGCTCCGATACCTGGGTAAGATATTTTTCACTCTCATTATATTTATTACCACAAAATACACACTCAATAATTACTTTAAACAACTGTTTGCTTAATAGTGTAAAAATAATATATTATGTGTCTACTGTAAACAATACCTACACCCTGTGGAAAAAAACCTTGTTAATATACTACACAGTGAATAAACTTACAATTTATCAAATACAGATAATTTTGAAATGGAAACACCCTTACAACAACCATAAATCATAACAATCATGGTCATGGATATGTCAAACGTCACAACACCAGAAATGGCTAAAATTTTGAAATTGAAAACTTCATAAACAATCTTAAACAATAGGGACATCCCTATTGTTTAGATTTTATTGTTGTTTAGTTTAGATTGCATATTCTAAACATCCATGTTCATCCAGCCTTTACCTCGATTCACAAGAATCAATATCTGACCTAGAAAATGTTAACAAATAGTGTTCTACTCCAATAACAATCTAACAAAAGATCTGAAGCTAGTTCTGTCCCTAACTGATGACTCATCTACATATTGTATACACTCCATCTTCAGCAAATATGGTAACAATGCCAACAATGAATGGAGTTGTGTAAATGGTTAAGATATTGTTCGGTCAATCAAACCATTGATCAAGGTATTCTTTACACAACTGAATGGAATTCTACTTTGATATTGTTAAGAGTAAAAGAGATCTGTGGATTTTATACTACTATGGTAACAAACAAAACAGCCAACTGATATAACATTATTGTAGGATTAGAATTTAGTCATTTTCCAATCAAGTTTTTGTTCTAAGAGTTAAGTGTGACTTATTTGTTATGAAACCAAGATAATATTCATAATTAGGTATAGTGCCAATACAGTGTCATAGTCATAGTCTCTGCCTACCCCCATGGGAAACAGGGGTGAGGTTATGTATGTATGCCAATATGCATACAATGCATCTAGAAACTTATTAGAATTCTTAATTGTTGTTGAGTTTGAAATCTAAAAGCTGCCATTTTTTATAACTTTACTGATAATCAATTGTGGATTGATGGATTTATGATTTATATTAATTGTGTCTATAAAGATATTTTCTATCTAGATAGGTAATTAGAAGTGAACCTATATCTATAACTGCATAGTTGACCTATATAATTTCTAGAAACAGTAAGGTACTTGAAGTAGTGCTGCCCCAGTTAAATCTGATTACAAATTACAAATCAAAAATGATAGCATAAAATTCAATGGTACATTCTAGTTCAAGTGCCACAAACGGAATCACTATTTTAAATAACACCTATTATATATATAGTGAGAGTGTTTGTCATAATCCTAGATAGGTACAAAAATATCTGTAATAACACTAGATATAGATTACTATAAACTTGTGTGAAATGCATGTGTTCAAAGTAAAAATATTTGATTAAATTACGTGAAACATTCAAGGTCTCATACTCTGATTGAAAAGGCTAGATTTCATAAAACGAGCAAGTTTTTCATTAAAGTTACAAGTAAAGATTATTACTATTTAATAATTATGTTCCATAATCATTATCACATCAATTAAGTCGATTTCATAATTAAAATACCATTTTATGATTGTGTTTGATAACACTTCAACATGGTTGTAACGTGCTGTAAGGTAATTAGGGATGTAAGAGAATTCCAGAAAGTTGTTACAATGCATTAAATTGTCCCCTAATAGATCCAAGCGGTTACCAGTGACTGCTCTCCACTTACACCATTATAAAACTTATTTCTTATGATTAGGGATTACTTTTCTATGAAAAAATGTTGTGGATTTTTCATAAGCAGACGTTAAGAAGTAAGACAGGTTGTTATAACATATGTAATTCTTTCATACATTTTACATGTCATAATTCTATGAATCTGCATGTTTCACCTGCTGCTTGAAATGGTGTGCTTAAAGCCTTCCTCCATAAATAGGGTCAAAAGAAAAATAATACAAAGATGTAAATTAAAATATTACAGATACACAACGGGCACTCCTGCCCCAACATTCCAGCATGGCTATTGGACGGCACCGCAAGTGGAACAGAATAACAGCAGAAGCAGTAGTTCCAGTCGAGACCGGCGATCTAAGAGCAAGAATAGAGAACACAAGCCAACTAGAACTTCCAGGTCGCAGAGGTAAACATTTTTTATTTTGTTGCAGAAAAGAAAATCTACATGTCTATATCCATACAGATAAATAAAATTTATGTGCCTGTTTTTAATATTAAAATAATCGCTATTTACTACATGCATATGAATATTATTTTACGACAAAACAACGTTATTTTTTTAAATTTTTGTCTATCTGCTTGTACTGACTAATCTCTGGAATGGCTAGACTGATTTTGCAAGGCTTTTATTGCCATGACGTGGTGATGTACAGGAGGAGTAACATATAGTATGTAGGAGTAACATATAGTATGTAGGAGTAACATAGGCTACTTTTATTTTGGACAATTTAAACAAAAAAATACTTGTGTTCTAAAATACATATTCTTTACGGACATAATTGTAATGGTAAACAAGCAGATGGATCACCTGATGGTAAGCAATCAGTGTTGCCCATGGACACCTGGAACACTAGAGCGTTACCAAGTGCCTTACCGGCCTTTTGGGGATTAGGTGTTTGAGGATTATTGGGGATTCAGGGATTGGGGAGATTTGGGAAAGGGGGAGGCTAATTGGGCCTCCGGTAACCTCATTCACACGACGAAACACAATGCAATCGTTGTTTGACGTCTGTGAGGCTGTGTTATGACTCTGATCGAGCCGGCCCATTTGAGCTGAAGCATGACCCTCCCACACTTAAGCTCATTCACTGACAGAGTAACCAGAGGTAATTAAAATTGTGGTATGTTGCTCTTGTTTTTAGTTAAGTTTGCCTTTTATTGCTCAAGGGTTAACCTGAGACATAGTTTCAGTCCATTTACTTTTAGTTGTTAGTGCTACAAGACAAATCTTTTTGTGATTTTGTGACTAGTTATTAATTTCTAAATTCCAAAAGCCAATAACAGCGTTTATAAAACTGGAATTTGAAATAGGTAAACAGTATTAGCATAGTTTCGAATTATAAAGTCGGTGAATAGACTACTGCACTAATTGGAACAAACTTTCAATTCGCTTATTTTATTATGTATGCATAATTGTTGCCCGCTGATTTCGTTAAAGAAATACCTTTACCGTTTGAGTGGTCAAACTTGTTACTGTGCTAGTTGATCTTATCTATTAATCTAAGTCAAACAATCATACTTATCGCTATGTCATGGATTTCCTTGTTAAATGTAAACTTATTTAATTATCATCGACAACAGACATTAATGCAATGTGTACTTTAAAAAAAAATGTGAATCATACTTGTTTTAAGCCTTGAGATTAATGAAATTGATACAACATACATACATACATACATAACATCACGCCTGTCTTCCATGAGTGTAGGCAGAGACTATGGAACGATCCAATTTTTTATAATAATGTATTGATTTGTCTGCCTCATTGGCCGAGTGGTCGCAAGCGCGACTGCCGGGCAAGAGTTCTCGGGTTCGATTCCAGAGAACGGCAAAGTATCACTGGGTTTTTAAAAATATTCGTTGTAGCACGGACTCTACAAATGTGACCAGTATATGGCAATAGGCTCACCGTCTATTACATGGGACTCGTAACATAAATAGTGAAAAGTGGGTGTTACATTGTACAGTGGCATTAAGTGCCATAATGTGCACCTCTGTCTACCCCTATGGGGATAAAAGGCAGGATGTTATGTATGTATGTATTGATTTGTGTGTCCAAGGAATAAGAGCTAAAATTCATTATCATCCATACCAATAAAGACTTGTTCCATAATAATCACAGTATGTAAAAATCCATGTACGCCTATTAGCATATTTAACAAATACAGCTAGTTGGACGCAAAAATATATACCAAGGTCATCTATTCAGTATACTGCATTCAGGCATTCCATGTGATGACGTCACACTCTTTAATATTATGCAAAACGTTTGCACACAAAATAGGTAGCTTAGCTATTGTATGACAAAACCATGGAAGAAAGGTTGGTTTAACATAATCATGAGTTTTAGAACTACTGGTAATATCGTGACTATATTAACTGGAATTTGATTTGCTTTGCTTTGCTAGATTAATCTTATTTACATTTGAGTTAAAATAATGATTAAACATTGTGCATGATTAAATACTGTTTTATATTTTTCTGTTGTGGCCCTTTATCATCTATGAAGGGTTCTACAATGAGTCTCATACAGAAAATATATGGCTATGAGGAATCTGCTAAGGTTGTATTTTTTAAATAAATTGTTATAACTTACATAGTTAATAATGAATTTTTGTATAAATAAGAAGCACCATTCTACCTCCTGTATTTGACTGCCTACTATCTATACAAATCTTCTAACACACGAAATGGTATCAAACCAAGTTCATGATTTAGGTACATAGTAACCAATCGACCAACTGCCTGTTAGAACTAACGCAATAGTATTTCTAAGGGATGTACCAAAAAGTGTGAAATGTGTTTTCATCGATGATAAATATAAATTTCAAATTTTCCAGGGATAAAGCGCCCGCGATACCCCCCGTAATCGAGCCAATAGTTATGCCCACGACTATGGTGACATCTACAATTGATGCAGCTAAGCGGCGTCAGCTTCCAGCGTGGATTAGGGAAGGTGGGTTCTTGCTCCTATTACTTATTTGTATTATTAGTGAGATACTTGCATTATGTTGATCCCAGAAGAGGCAAAACAATTGTGATTCAACACTCCTCTAGTATTACTAGTGTCGTTGAGAGACGCTGATTGCTTATCAACAAGTACTCAGTCTGCTCGTTAACGTGATTCCAGATTTGATGATAAAAGACAATCATGACGAATTGGCAGTTTAAAACTTATGACTTGAAATTAAAAATCTCGATTTTCTCACATACGATATTCACCATATTTCAGTCGATTCAAATGATGCCAAGTTATAATGTTAATAGCTGATTGAAACTGAGAGCCTGGAGCTGAATTTTCTTAATTTTATTTTATTACATTCCAGGTTTAGAAAAAATGGAGCGTGAGAAGCAGAAGGCAATAGAAAGAGAGCAAGAGTTGAAGGCAAGAGAAGAAGCAGAGAAAGAAAAGAAGAGATTAGAAGAAGAGGAATTAGAACGAATGAAAGCAGAGGCCGGAGGCCAACCCGTCATGCCACCTAAGAGTAAATTCGTAAGTACCATGATATTGTAGCTTACTGTCTCGCACAACAAAACTGGAGAGTGCCAATGGTATATCTAAACCGATATGATCTTCAAATCTTCAAAAAAAGAGTGTATTCTTACTTTAAAATTCCAGCAAGGCACTAACAATTCCTCTGATATTACTGCGGTCCATGGTTGACGCTGGTTGTTTACCATATGCCATAAAAAAATAACACCAAGGCTCCTGACTCTTGATGACCACAATAAACCTTTCTGCCTATATTACTTTCTGTGGTTACTGCCGAATATTAAATAACGAGACGTGTTGGCAAGAATAATTATTGGCAAAGTCTTATCTAAGATATTTGAACAGGAGCAGAAAGTAGGGCAAACTAATGAAATTAGTTTAACAGTTTATTAATAGGCAATCCTCCTTTTGGCCTCTTCCCAAATAACTTTAAGGCCAGCATTGATTCTTAACCAGATATTCTAAATATTATAAGAATATTAAAAAATTACATATATTCCAGATATAATCTCTTTTGATATAAATCAAAAGAGAAAGTTGTCTATAGTGCTCTAAAATATAAATATTTTAACTAAATAAGAACTTCACGCCTTTTATCTCAAAAGGGGTAGGCGGAGGTGCACATTACGGCACTTAATGCCACTGTCCTAATCCCAAAGGGCCGGCCGAGCACTTGTAAGGCCTCTGGTGAAGTCCGGACCAGGGCCTTTAGCCAAATGCCACTTTAGCGCTTGTCTATAGAGAGAGTAGAAATCAAAATGGATGACACTGAGAAGTGTCAAAACTTACGTCAATTCCATATAATTTGGTTTTCTATTCTACATGTAGACAAGCGCTAAATGGCAGTTTGCTACAGCTGCTTGATATATAATATAAGACCGGGCACATTTCCAGACTTCGTGCTACTACTGACACTTTTTTAAAAGCCCAGTAATACTTTGTCTGACCCGGGAATCGACCCCGAGATGCCTTGCGCGGCAGTCGCACTTGCATCCACTCGGCCAACGAGGCAATCAAAATAAGAAATATCAAATAAATACCATGAACTTAAAACAAAGCTCGAGGACTTGTATCTTGTGTTTCCCCAAGAACTGAACTGATTGAACATAACTCAATTAAATGATATGCATGTAATTTTTTTATACAATAAAATACTACTGCTATATACACAATTATAAATATTGACTTAGTCAAGTACAATAAAAGTGTGGTTTTTCTGGGTTTCAACTGACCCATGAAGATGAAAAAGAAACCTCTTCAACAAACAAAAAAATTATAAATTATTAATTAGGGTACAATATCTATCTGAATTAAGTTTATTATTGAAAATAATCATGATACTGTTGAACTGCCTCATTGGCCGAATGGTCGTAAGTGCGACTGCCGGGCAAGGAGTCTCGGGTTCGATTCCTGGGTCGATCAAACTATTACTGTTTAAATTTTTTTTTAAATTCTCAGTAGTAGCACGGAGCCTGTAATCGTGCCCGGTATATGGCTATAGGATCACCTTCTATTACATAGGACTCATAACATAAATAGTGAAAAGTGGGTGTTACATTGTACAGTGGCATAATGTGCACCTCGGCCTACTCCTTCGGGGATAAAAAACGTGATGTTATGTTATGTAAACTGTTTAAACTGTCAAACACCAAGCGGTCACAGGTGACCGCAACCTATTGTTCTATAATTGTGTCCACAAAACCGGTACTCGACGAGTTAAATGAGAAAAATGTAATCAAACATACATAAACCCATGCCTAACCTACTTAGTACCTACTAGACTAGAACCTACATACACTAGGTACTTAATATTATTTCAAAAAGGCATAAATCATGAAACTAAGCAAACCAAACGAGATGCAATACTGATTATAAAATTCCTCATACTCTGCAAATATACTTTAATACAAAATTATTTTTGTGACAGGAATCGGATTCCGAAGGTGAAGATCAGGAGAAGGAGCCAGCGTCGTCGAGTCCAGTGAAGGAGGAGCCACCGGACGAGGCCAACGCTCCGCCTGACGAGAGAGAGGAACCTCCCGCTCTCGTCAAGAGGAGTAAAGAGGAGATCATGCAAGAAGTGGTAACATACTGACGGTTGATTTACGTTGAGGTTGAGGGATGAAAAAGGGATCTTATCCCTTCCTCTGCCCCACCTCTTTTTTATCCTTTCTCTCCATTCTCTTTCTTTCTCCTTTTTTCAAATTCAAAAAATTATTTTTATTTCTTCCTTTCTATTCTTCTTTCTATTCCCCCCCCCCCTCTCTGTCTCTCTTTTAATTTTCTCAGTTTATTGGAGTCTTGACCCCTTCAGACACAAAATGAGAAATTGATACATTCTTGTGTGAAGGGTCTTCTAATGAAAATTGCTGCATTTGATACAGTTTTAATGTCATTGATGTGAACTCTAAAATTATGAATATTCAATTGAGTGCATCAAAACCCCATTGAAATCCGCAATCTGTTCACAGATTATGCTTACGCTAATTATGCTACGATTATGCTAATTTGTTAAAGCGAGTTTAACAAATTAGCATTAAATCTGATATTACATTACTTTTATGCACAATGTTATTGCAAAAATGTAATTTATGAGGTAAACATAACAAATATCATCAATTACCATATATTCAAAAAGTATTATTTATAAATTTTAATGACCAGGGTGTTTATCGAAATGTTTTCTACCAAATAATAATTACAGGAAAAATACTGTTCTTTTGGCCTAAGCCATTATTAGTATTTTTCTTTAGTTATTTTAGTAATAATTGGTCTTGTAATTAGTCACCAGACCAAACAATTATTTCCCATCTATTATAAACGATAACTATCATCGCTATTTTCATAACAGATGGGAAATAATTTTACAATTTCAGCGCAGTCAGAGTGAAGGAAAAATTAAGTATGGTCGAGTCATGAAAGATGATGAATGTGTATTATATAAATCTTAAAAAACATTCACAGATGCTTGCAGTCCGTCGCTCCCTAACAGAAATCCTCCTTGAGGTGACGGACCAGGAGATTCAAACGGTGAGCCAGGAAGAATTGGCCCGATATACCGCCCTACAAGGTATTTCCACTCATCTAAGCTTATCCCAAACGGACCGACGGTCTCCGTCAAGACATTACTTTGTACCACGAGAAACTATCGCGTACTGACTCTAAATGTGATATACACTCTGTGATACACCGTCTCGTATCGAGATATAGACATAGGCTGTGAACACGAAGAACTGTGATGTGCAAAAATGTGTTATATATTATCGCTAATAAAGTCTTATTTCAGATGTTGCCAGTTTGACAATTGAATACATGTGGTGTGTGTGATTAATGTTGGTTTTATTTATATGGTAAAAGCATCGCGCCTCAACGCCATGAAGGCGAGCAAGTCGAAGGCACTGGCCGCTATCGCCAGTGGGCTCGGTGAGTTACGTTCCTATTGCCGAGCGAGCGCAAGTATCTCGCAAACTTACTCGCGCCCTGCTACTGTCCGCATCCTAATTGATCCCCAACGTACTCTAAACAAGTATACAGCACCGATACACAAGATAGCAGTTTGCCAGATATTTGCGTACAAAACATAAATGGTGGTTTTTCTCTTAGTTTCGCAGAAAAACTATCAAAAATGTTTGTTGTCGAAGTCGTTTGCGAACCGCCATGTATGTTACTCCCAAGTTTCTCATTTCAGCAGCCCAGCATCATAATTAGTATTTTAGTGTTGACCTTATTGGCAATACGTTGTATCAACAGTGTTTAAATGCATTGTTTTTAGTGGATGTTTGGTAAGAAATGTACAGAATTTTTATAGATGTTATATACCTAAATATTATAATTATACAAAATACTTTTATCGGTGAATTATTTAAGGAACTTTATTTACTGTTTGTGTGATTTGTTTCATTGGTTTCGAAGGTCGTTTCGCATTATTTTTTTTATATAAATGTACCTATATACAAGTACACTTCCCTATTATTGTAATAGATGCTTTATTCTTACTTAAGGTGGTATCTATTCTTGATTATTGATCTACAAAAACGATACACAAACTATTGTCTTCTGTGGTTTGAAGTAGGTGGTATTGTATGTGACGTCATTAGTTGTGTGAGTTAGGCTGGATACTATGTAGTGTGTGTGTGTGCAGGGCTGGGCGCGTACGAGAGCAGCTCCGACGACAGCGCGGAAGAGGACCAGGATGAACTTTCTGATCAACAGCTACAGGTAAATACCACATGACATAATATACCATCATATCTTATTTTATAGGATAAACCGGTAAACGAGCAGACGGATCACCTGATGGTAAGCAATCGGCGACGCCCATGGACATCTGGAACACCAGAAGAAGTGCGTTACCGGCCTTTTGAGGAATAGGAATTTGAGGAATTTCGGGGCCTCAGGAATTGGGGTACAGGGGGTTAGGAGTTAGACCTCCGGTAACCTCACTCACACGACGAGACACAACGCAAGCGTTTTTTCACGTCGGTTTCTTGTGAGGCCGTGGTATCACTCCGGTCGAGCCGGCCCATTCGTGCCGAAGCATAGCTCTCCCACACTTAAATATTAAAGAAGGAACTAAATAACAGCGAGGTAGTGATATCACTTGCAAGGACATGATCCCAGGTTCAATTTCCGGGTCGGGCAACATCTGTCTGGGTCTGGAATGGTATCTAGTATAACACATCTAATGAAAACTGGACAACTTACACATTATATTAACTATAATCGCGGGTTACTCACGTGAATATACTAAGAATAGCTCTACTAGATACGAACCACAGAGGGGCTCTTCCTTATGAGCAGCGTGCGCGGTCGCGGCGATGTCGCGCAGCGCTGGTTCGAATTTAGTATGGCCTACGATAGTTATTATAATTTACACATTATTTGGTAATAATGTTGATGCATCGCACAAACTGCACTTGTGTGATAACGATACGAGTTACGCTATTGAAAAACTTGACCTTATTTAAAACAATGTAATGTTACTACTTACGACGGTAAAGTACATATAAGTATGTTAATTAACTTTATATTTAAGTATATACGCAGCTGCAGGATAATCTGCATTGTAAATCGTCCATTAATTTTAATTAGTAGTATGTTTTTGTTTTGCCTATTACCTACTGATAAACCTTGGGCATTTCCGTGTACATTTTCGCCCCTTCCCCCATCCAATATGTGTTTATTCGTAGGATTTTCGACTCTATTCTAAACGTATTATGTTTCAATCTTAGAGATGCCTTTTAACATCATAAGATATCTAAAACCTGCTGCTGTCAATGAAATGCCTACTGTGTTACATATAACACAATTTTTTAAGCTTTTTAATATCTGAATTATCAAAGAAAAACATAACCAATATTTCTTCTTTTTATCAGGATATCATCAAGCGCAAGAGGTTGGACTTCGAGCGCACTGCACGAGAGATAGAAGCTGAAGTACGGCGTGCTGAAGCAAGAGAAGCTATTGAAGAGTCTTCCACTCCCAACAACACTACGCCGGAGAGACCAAGGCGATCACGTTAGTATTAGAATATTCTTACGTACCTATATACTTGCTTGGACTAACTCACAAATTATCTACCTGTTGCTGCATATGTATATAAATATTTCTTCTATTACCTTTCCAGGTTCATCTGCTACACCACCACCAGACAGTGACACCCCTGATAAGTTACCTGAACGTCGCCTCTCGAAGGACAAAAGAAATCATAAGTCAGAGAAAACTGATGGAGTCAGAAAATTAGACACTATTCTAGAGGAAAAGGTTAAGAAATCAAGTAAAAGAGATCGAACACCTAGCCCCTATTCAAAATCTTCCAGTAAAGCCAACAAAGAAAGCTCTTCGTCCACCAGTGACTCTGAAGATGATTCCTCATCCAGCTCAAGCGAATCCTCGTCGGAAACTGAACAAGATTCCACAGCCCATTCTAAATCCAAGAAACGCAAACGTCGGGGCTCCAGTTCTAGTGGGTCGCGTAGAAAATCAAAAAAAGACAAACATAGAAAAGACAAATCTCACAAATCAAGCGATAGGAGTTATTCCAAGTCTAAATACTACGACGACTCTGAGAAATCCGACAAGTTTAGGTCCAAGAAAAAAGATGATTACTATGATAGACACAAATCTTCTAGGAGTAGGGACTACGACAAACATAAATATCGTGATGACTCCGAGGAGGAGCGTCCTAGGAAGCGTACGAAGCGGTCGCGTTCCATCAGCTACGAATCGCGCTCGGGGCGCAAGAAGGCATCGCGGGATCGGTCGGAAGAGCGTTCGCACAAGAGGGACAAGAGGTCATACGACAGGGATAGCTCCAAGCGGGACAGGTCTTACGACAGGTCGGGCCGAGACTACGACAAGTACGATAGGTATGAGCGGTCTAGGGACTACGACCGGCGTCGATCGCGCAGCGGCAGTCACTCCCGCCACCGCCGGTGAACATCAGGTTACACAGCGAACAGGTTGTACTTCCATCTATCTTGTAAACTTGTGTGTTCAACTTAGACAAAAGAACGATTCAATCATTATCATGCTGCTTAAGATAATGCAGTCTATATTAAGCATACTATATTTTTATTATTTTTATGTATATTATTTCTAAAACAAGTCTACCTCGAGCTATTTAGGTACTAATATAAATATTAGGATGATGTCAGAAATGTTATTAAACTTTGCATAATATTATTCTTATTGTCCAGAATACTACAATTGAAATGCTCAGTATATTTTATTACAATCAGTATATACTTTGGTTATTATGTATTTATAACTAGCATTGAACTTAATAGAGCTATATGTAATAAAGACGTATTACAAATACATATCATTTGAATAAATTAAAACATCCATCTACTTCAAAGTACATAGGGACAAATCGAATTGAACGTGTAAATAAAACTTGCAAGCAGTAAATTAATAAATTTAACATCCGTGACAATATCCGGTTGTTTCAATGATCCATTATCTTTCGGTTCCATTTCGTTAGATAACAATCACGACACATTTATCATGTCCGAGACGTTTAGTACGTTACGCATTAGAACATCCGTCCTTTATCGCATGTTAGGAGCTATCAGCTTTATAATTACCGAGTGCATTTCTGACATCAAAAAAAGCTATAAGGCTGTGATATATTATTTTTTAATTTTTCTCTTGCAGGTGGGAGCAATCATAAGTACGTGCAAGATGTAAATATTAGTCCCTTGTGTATAGTATTTTAGTGTGCACTATTATTCGCGTATATATAACTTTAATAAACACTTCACATTTACCTTTATTGTTTCATTTCTAAATGTTTAGTCACACCCAGTTATATGCGGTACCTTGCCATGAACCTATATAAATTTGGAGTCACCGTTACGCGACGCCTCACACAAACAATCCAAAAAGAATGAGTAGGTGCTCACCTATCTGCCTTTATTATTGCTCAAAAAACTATTCATAATATTAACTTCCCTGGTTTCTATAGCGCAGTTCATATCATATTTGATGACGTAACCACTAGTTTAATATCATTAATCATTCATTTTCTTTTGCCATTATATGGCTTTTTTTTTTCTTAATCATTCATGTCCGATTTTTATTACCCAGCTCGTATACAACCTTATGAAACGAGTCTGTCTAACCCAGTAAATTGACTAGTGCAGTTATATAATTATAACAAAAATATTTAATTATAAAATACCTAATAAAAATAAATATCCATTTAGGAAGTCATAAGTTGTCTTGCTTACGTATTATTCGAATTGTTTTCATGGATTGGTCATGGACGGAGCGTTAAGTAACGCTCTTAGCGCATACCTATCTAATATTATAGCCCTTGTTTGGATAGTAGGTATGAGAACCGGCAAACATTTTTGTTTTAAACTCTTTTTATAACTGTAGTCTTTTTATAGGTACCTACCTATATCGAGCACAATGAGTTGTTAATTTCATGGAAAAGTCAGAAAATAATGATTCTCTAATACAATATTAGATGAATATTATGTAAATCATACAAAACAACTAGTGCAGTAATTGCTTCCCTAATATAAAACTACTATTATAGTTTTCCTATAGGAAAACTAGTTAGCTAGGAAAAATATTACTCCGCTACGAAAATAAAACTGTTGATTGATTTGGTATGCTATTTCTCAAAGTAAATCCTGATTCTAATAAATATGTGGAATAGATATCTGTCATGTACTTATTGGTAATAATCCATGGTAACCAGTCACAACATTGCAACACCAAGGTTGCTAATAAGTGCTTATGGAATTATTCTCTGCCATAAATTTCAAATATGAAAATGAAACATGATATTCAAATTTAAATAATTTTTATTTAAAATTATAAATATTTCACTTTCAATCAATCTAGTTATTGCTCACTGTTTGTAATGTAGTACATCTAATTTTTATATAAAAATTAAAATCTATACAATTCAAAAGACAACATAATTTTAGTAATATACCAATTTATATTGATGACAATATTTATATGAATCACATAGGCCAGGCTAAAGATAAGAATATGAATGCATTTGATGTAAAATGACTAAAATATTTTCCATTAATGAAAATGATGTTATTTAAAGCACCTATATACACATACATACACTCAAGATGTTGTCCAACATTGGCATAACAGTATTAAATTAAACTTAGGCCTATCACTGTCGCTAACCCAACCTCACTTACCAAATCTTTGATCACATTTATTGTATCTGAACAATGCTCCTATGAAATTATCAATACTTACACTATGGTCCAATGAAAGTTGTATAAATTCTGTTAGTCTTATTTGCCATGGCAGTAACCCATGGGTAAGACAACATGGACCAGTATATAAAACTAATTCTGGATCAGGAATGGAAGGGTACTTTAACATTAGAACATCATTTAATTCTTGTGCTGTATACTCATCTGATTCTCTATTACATTTAAGTCTATCTTCAGCTATCTGGCGAATACATTGTGCTATGTATGGTTTACCATCTTTACTATCAAAAATATTTATGTACACCGTGTGGGCTTGCATGCCATTTGTGTAACCATTTAAGTCTGGCTTTCTACCCCATTTAATGCAACCTGGCACACCTTTTTTATTTCTTTCTACTTCAAGAAATAGTTTTTCTTCGTTTTCTTTTAATTCGCCTGAAAAAAAATTAAATAATTAGTAAAAAAATATTTTAAGCGATAAAAGAAAACCTCTACCTAAGGGATTTGAATATTTTCTACCTACCATTGCAAATATTAAGTAGATATTTCATCAATCTTGTGTTATCTAATATCAAAGCATACACATCATCTTTATCTGAAACCTGTTTATGTAGTAATAATGTATAATATGTGACATTATTTTGCATTGCTACAGTTTTTTATAGGTCTACCCTATTAAATAAAAAATATTTTTAATAACAAAATTATTAAGACTTGCTTTTTATTCTCTGGTTAATGATAGGTTGATTGCTTGAGATATATGACGAGAAATCTAATAAGATAATCAATGGTCCTTCCTTCGAAGGATATTACCTGTTATATCGTAAAAGCTCACGTAAGATATCCCAGCTACGAGGCTCCATATAACCATGCGAGCCAGGTCACTGAACGAGTGGTGATCTGTGTCCGTCAGTATCACCAAATGCTTGAGTTTCTTGGTAACTCTTGGCAAATGTTCTAATATAACTTTAATATCACTTTTAGTTACCACATTTGGAGCCAAAAAGCACTTTTTGTTCCGGAATCGGGAATAAACATTTTGAACAGCAACAAGTATATTCACAACCAAATGAACTAATATATTCAAGACCTGACGGACCGGCTGAGACAGCATGATAAAGAATTAACAAAGGAGTAATGTGTATCCGTAGTAACAATATAATTTATTTAACCATTTTTCGGCAAAAGAAATCACAGCACAATCAGACAGATCACACGGTACAGTCAGCCGCTTTTTTCAGACAGCCAATCACGAGCTTTAGGGTGGACAGAATGATTGCCAACGTTTAGAAAACGATTGTCATTGTCAAATGCATACTGTTTATTTTGTTTTTCACCCTAAATATAAAGCTAGCCATAAAAATGTTACTATTACTAATGTAACTAGTCATCCTTTGATTATATAGGTGACTTGTAACTCGACGTATTCCTCTCGGAAGGTGATAATACAACTAATTTCCTACAAAATAAGGCCTGAGGTCCCTGATGTGCACCGAAGGTGGCTAGTTTCTGAGATATTCAGCATTTTCGGGTTTGGTGAAAAAATCCTGATCGAACTACAAAACTAAAAAACTACTATAAAATCTTCAAAAGTACATTAATAACTACATGTATTTTTGTTTCGTTCGTGTCCTGAAACGCAATGGGGGCTAATATTTTTTTGCTCACCAGATTAGTGCAAACATTTTTTAAGAAGGAAATTTTTGTCCAATCACAGCAACTGTTAAATGTATAACTTCCAATGGTATGACAAGAGCCAATTCCTTATTAGACGACGATGAATGGTGTACACTTTTTTTTTAAGAGGGAAAATCAACGAATGACTGCTCCCGCCTGGGTGAGGCGGGAGGGAGTGTCAGACTCTTACTGACTAAAAACCACCCCGTTCCTTCTCTTGCACGTCGAGCCAGAGCCCCGGATACCCGTTAGGTTCTCCGTGACTCCAAATCGGCAACAGCCTATTGGGCCCCATCTGTGGTGGTCTGATGGCTCTTTGAGACGCGCGCGGAACTCGACGCGCCATACGCTCGGGTCTGTTTCTGATCGGACGGGGAGCCACCCATGCTCGCCGTCCGCAGTCCCGCGCTTACGGTGGCCGGAGATCGTCCCGCGATCCCCGACGCCCAGTGTGTCCTTCGCGATGGCTGGGTTGCGAGGAGGCAGCGCTTCGCTGCCTCACGCGTCCCGCCTCCTCCTTAGCTAGCATGACTGCTTCGCAAAAGGAAGAGACGGCATCCCCCTCGCTCCACATCATGGCCTGCACTAGGCCCGGACGCGAGAGGTCGCCATCGCCGATCACTTCCCTGAGGACACGGCGGTGCTCAGCCCACGCAGGGCATTCCGCTACAATGATGTACACCAGCGCTATCTGGTGAAAAAAACTACGGTTTTTTTTAAGGAGGGAAAAACATCGAATGACTGCTCCTGCCTGGGTGAGGCAGGAGGGAGTGTCAGATCAGTCTCTTATTGACTAAAAACCACCCCGTTCCTTCTCCTGCACGTCGAGCTGGAGCCCCGTTTACCCGAACAAAACTACGGTAGACCCACGGTAGACCCCATTCATCATATTGACCTGATGACTATTAAAATAATTATATAAATTTTATATTAATATTTCACAAAATTCTTATCTTACTTATCGTTATTCAAGTACACGAAACGTGTAAAGTAAATGTCAAATTATTTTCTGTTCCATAGACTATAATCGACTAAAAGATGATCAATATTCTATTTCCTTTTCCTCCCACCATCTTTGTTAGTTTTTTTTATTCTCTTTGGTTTCATTCTTTCGCTTGTCAGACTTGCCTGATAAGGTTAGTATTTCTCACATTTACAATTTTTTGATTTATTTTAGTGATTTTCTAGGCTAAAACGTAATTTTAGTGTTAATATTTGTGTTAATATTGGATATTGAATGACAAAATGTGTTAATTAATCTTTCTCTGTGCATTTTATGAAAAGTTTGTTGTAGTGCTCTTGGACCACGCCGTTGAATATTACGTTTTCATTTCAGAAGCCTTCAAAATGCAGTTGTTCATCCAAGGAGGGTCCGTCTCGGTGATAGACGTTGATGGGCAGGAGACGATAGCCCAGATTAAGGTAATTTCAAGAACTTTTCTATTTAAATTGGTCCAAATGTAACCACTTGATAATCGTGGTATTTTTTTTTTACCATGATATTGTTTCATATTTTTTTCTAATACACAACCCTTCATAAGCCTAGTAAATGTTTTAATTGTTTACTCTTTATAGATAACTGAATGTACTATTAAATTCGCGGATATCAGTTTATGATCAAAATAATAATTTAGAGGTTATGTCGAAACAGTGAACAATTTGTTGATCGGTCACTTGACTTCATTTTTCAGGACCGCCTTCGTAGTGTAGAAAATGCTGCGAATGATGAGCATCTGACCGTGTGGGTCAACGGAGTCGCTGTAGAAGATTCCTGCTTGGCTTCAGAATTAGCTTCCGACCATCTTGATATCACAGTATCACTTCCTGGTGGTAAAGTCCACGGTTCCCTGGCTCGTGCTGGTAAGCAAATTGATTTAATTGATTATATTTATTTAATTTGCTAGAGACATTCATATTGTGTATACATTCTTAGTTTTGTCCTAGGGTGAACAACATCTCTATGTAAATATTTTAAAATATCTAGTAAATATTGGTTTCGGAATACTGTTTGGATTGTATGCATACACCTGTTTCACAGAGTTAGATTACTCCCAGTACTTAATTCTGAATTATTATTGATAGATAGTTTTTATTGAGCTCTATGGTTGTCAATAAAGTCGCTGAGATTGTTAACATATTAAGTACTACATCTTAAAGAAAACTTTAATTTAAATAATTTTAATTATCAAGCTGATTTTCTCTCCTTCTCTGCCGCTTCCCTCTTGGCAGAGCAGTCGTGGTCATATTGAGGCGGCCGTATTTGTGTTGGAGGCCGATACAGCTTTCCTCATGATCTGCCGCCATCTCTTTCTGTTTGTGGATTGTCTGGCACAGTCTGACACTGGGTTTCCCATTGCCGATTTGACTTGATCAGTCCAGCGTATAGGTGATCCGCCTCGTGATCTCTCTCCCTCTCACCCTCCCCTGATTTTAGAGAGGTAGTATTATCTAATAATTTATCAATCTAATGATCAAGTTATTTCATCATAATTTATAAGTAAAATCTATAGAAACATTTAATACATTTAACTGTAGATAATAAAATATTTACTTTACATTCTAAATGGATAATGTCAACCAAGTTGTAAAATATTAGCTTGTTAAGCATTATCTATATATAAATTAAACTTAGTATCCAGCATTATACTTAAAAGGACTCTTGATCAGCAAACTTGTTCTTACATATGCGTAATATTTGATGTTATAAGTACCTAGATAATAAGAGAAATAAAATGGGCCAAGAATTGATCCCTGCGAAACACCCATCTCAACAAGAAATCTTATTATAAATTTTTCATTTACTTCAACTCTATGAACCATGTAACTCAAGTATGATTTAAAGAAGTCTAAAGGGCACTTTGCATTCTGTAGTAGGATAGCATTCTGATCAATGTATGATGAAGAACACAAAGGCCTTAGACAAATTACAAAATATTTCCAAAAGCATTGTTTTTATTCTCATTAATTTTAAGAGGCAAATAATGCCACTAAATAGGAGGAAGTTACCATCTATTCTGACTTGCATAAGTTACTTTATTTATTTACATGATGAATTTCCCAATTTCCAGACCTTTGACAATTCTCACTGAGATAACAACTAATTGCTTGTGTAGTTAAGTCTGTGGGTTATTGTTTAGCCTGAAGCTGATTTAAGGGTACAAATACTAGCTTTTCCTACAATAAACTTTATAAAAGATTAGTTCAAATAAAGATACATACATACATGTAACTCAATCTACTTTTTTTTACAGGTAAGGTTAAGGGGCAAACCCCAAAAGTGGAAAAACAACAGAAGAAAAAGAAGAAGACCGGACGTGCCAAGCGCCGAATTCAGTACAACAGACGGTAAATATTTATTGATCCTTATAAGCCCAATCAACTTGAATTACCAATCCTCAATTTCATGATATACAATGCATAATTTATGAATTGGATTGTTGCTGCTGTACTTAAACCACGTTTTAATCGTAGTTCGCGAATGAGAGATTGTCAGTAATAATTACTTGTACATTTATTTTTACCAACTAAAACTTGTCTCAAACCTACCTATGGCATATGGGAAGATGGCCGCGATCACTGGTTTTATGAAAATTTTATTCACAGAATAATAGAATATTCTTTCTATGTTTCTCTTCTAACTAATTCATCTCCTAGTATACTGGCTGGCTATACAAACAGATAAATAAGCTGTTACAATTAAACAACTTTTTGTGGCTTTCTCTGCTATCCCTTTTATTTAGTTTTGATATTGATATTATGTATGTTGTCATATCAATACAAAAGCAAATCATCATAAGTAGTTTCAAGAACTTACATAGCAATGAATAATTCCCTAAAAATATGAGCCGGTTGAGATACTCGAGATAACAATGTACATAAGGTATATATATTTACGTGTACTATGTTTTTTATTTACAGATTCGTTAACGTTGTGCAGACATTTGGACGCAGACGCGGACCCAACTCCAACTCATAGACATGTTTTGTAAATAAAATGCAAATATAACATCTTTTTGCGCCAATATTTGTTTTACTAAATAACCAACCTATTAACTTTTTATGTGGCTGGGCTGAATTAACTTTTAACAAATTCTTTGTGTCAATATCAAAATTCACAATATCTCAATAAGTAGAGGTCGTAGCCAAAAAATTACGATAATTTTGAAGACACCTAGGTGGCCACACCCCGTTAATACATTTTATGATTGATCTATCAATCAAGCTAACTTTATTTTCACATTCATTGTCATGTCTATTCTATAGACATTATGAAAGTACCACCCACTTAACCTAAAACATTAAAAAATCCGATATTGGTGTCAGTAAAGCGGGCGATAAATGGTGGACCTAAAGCTGATCTGATATAAGTTTTAACCCTTGATTATATTATTATAATGTCGAGATAGAGTGAGTGTTCGTTCACAAAAAGCGTCCCAAAGATTTGCAGTGAACTGTTCACTGCCATGCAGTTTACCGTCATGTAGTACCAATCGAGTCACCTATGCGTCACTACGTGCATGCACGCTATAAAATAATCAAAAAGTACACTGCAAAGATGGCCACGTAGACTTAATGCCGCAGGCAGCCAGTCTACCAGTCTGACCCTTGGGTGATGCAGAAAAAGTAATCAGCGGGTGCAAGAGCATGCGTTGAATTTAACTATTTAAAATATGACTTTAGTTGACCTTGAGCCGTACGTAAAATTAAGGCGACGGCGTTCGCGGATCGCCTGCATTAGTGACGTTCTGGAATAAGTCGGTAATTTTTATTTGTTTATTTCTAAACTCAAACTCATAATTTGTTACTTTTGAAACGTCAACAAATATGAAATATCTGTCTGTCTGTCAGTCTGTCCGTCAGTGAAGCTAGGCGCTCGTTCCAAAATGTCGATTCGAGTGGAGAAGAACGAGAAAGAAACTCCATTCGTTACCTACTCTTTTAAAAAACGTCTGTTTTATATTACTCTGATACATATTCCAATATTGTACACACATGTGAGAATAATGTAAAGACATACCTGACGCAACATACAAATAACAGAACATACTAAAATAAAAAAAACAAAACCAAGAGAAAACAAATATCTTAAGTCTGACATGGTCCTCACATATGTATACTGAGTAACCAGTGTTACATATGTGAGGTATACTATACATATTATTATAACACTGGTTACTCGAGTCTGTGGGCTCAGCGCGCCCTCTAGCATGGCTTGAAACTAGTCGAGTTCCTCGTCAAATTATTGCGTGAGTAAGCCGAAAACATAATAATTTATTTAGTATGTCTCACGAAAGTTACAATACAAATAAGGTTTATATGTAGGTATAGGTACTTAATACACGCATATACCTCACGTGCGAAGCCGGGTCGCTAGTAAAATAATATTTTTATTATTTACTAGCTACTTCCGCGCGGTTTCACACGCTCTGCTCAGCTCCTATTGGTCGTAGCGTGATGTTTTAGCCTATAGCCATCCTCGATAAATGCGCTATCCAATACAAAAAGAATTATTCAAATCAGACTTGTAGTTACGGAGATTAGCGCGTTCAAACAAACAAAACAACAAACTCTTTAAGTAATAAGAAAGATATAAGATTGAACCAACATGCTTTAATGGAGGTACTATTTATTCTGACCGACTAAAAATATGGTACGTTTCGATACGGAATTCCGACCTAAGAGAATATTAGCGCCTGTGTTGACTTCAATCCTGATATCCCTGTTTTGCCTATCTTTGAAGATTGATCAAGTGTTAACTATAACTCGTCCTAGAAGGCGGTCCGTTAACAACTGTGGTAACGAAAACTATGTAAGAACATAGAGTCGAAAGCAAAACTGGCTGGTAGGAAGTTGGGTATCTTGCTGAGGGTGAGACGGTACTAAACACCGTAGCAATGACTGAAACTATATCCATCGCAAGCTCTGTATGGAGTATTGCTCTCATTTTTGAGATGACTTTGCTAAATACTAGCTAGCGGATTTAAGTACATCGAGAAGCGTGCCAAAAGGTTCATCAACGATGATATATTTGTGGAAGCCTTTCGTTTTTTTTGTAGGATATTTTCCGGTCAATGTGCAGGGTTGAATAACAATAAACCAACTTTTTTTTTATTTAAAGGGGTGCCATTTTTATTTGGCGTACCAATTAAAAATGTTCTTAGGCCCGGCACTGAATCTTTGTACCATTATAAAATATCTAGGATTTAATGAATAAGTAATCATTTTTTCGACCAGTTATTTTGAATAAAGACTGGTTAAGTTTTAATTTTATATGTGCATCTCTAGCCATCTCATAAAGAAGTAAGTACCTACCTATAAGTGAAGGTATGTTGTAATTTTGAATTCAATTTACTATCTCGTACCAAGCTTCAATTACGTAATTGCATTCTGCCCAGTCAATCAGGAACATCCTATATATAGGCTTTTAAATATTTAGGTACTTACGGACTAACCTACCTCCTACCTATAGTTAGTAGGTAGCTATTGTGTAGCAGGGGTGGCCAACCGTCGATCGTGACCATTAGTATCTACAGTCGATCATGGCAGTATGATTATGGAAGTACACTATGATATCTCATTTAAGATTTCATGAATTAAGTATGTAAGTGGTAGATCGCACTGGGTTTCGTTAATAAAAAGTAGATCTTATGACTAATCTAGACACCACTGACAAACGGTGAAGGAAAACATCGTGAGGAAACCTGGGCTTATATAATTTCTAATTTTAAGTTTATAATCGCTAACCCGCATTGAGCAAGCGTGGTGACTAATGCTCAAACCTTCTCCGTGTGAGAATTTGCTTAGCAGTGGGCACTTATAGGCTGTTGATGATGACTAATCAAGTTGGCTACCTCTGTTCAGGATTATGGTAAAAAATAAAACGATACAAACGTTTATTTGGCAAATATCGTGTATTTCAAAAGGGCCAAGGAAGACTATAGTGTATACACACTATTTGTCATAAAACAGTTATTAAATGGACACATTTCAATTGACAATTTGTACGTTGTCATGATTTACGGCAAGACAATAGTCCATACGCGTTCTTATTGATAATTCCTTAAATAATGTTTACTCTATATGGCACTGTGGCATCGATAAATAAAAAAAACAACTCAAAAATCATAGTCACCGTCACAAAATCTCACAAATTCTTATTTATAAACAACATTGTACTTTTGGAAGTACTCGGTCCTTTACAAAATGGAAGGAATAGTTAAGTACGTGTATAAGTATATTCGCATCATAACAAATTCATGTCATTATACACAAAAATGTATCTACGAAACTAGGTATAGGTAATCATAATCTATGATTGCAATAAATAAAACCATTGCCACAAAAATGGGCAGACCAAACAAAAATTTGATATGTAGATAAAGTTTCGAAATTTAATGACTATGATTTCTTAATTAGGTACACAATTTAAGCATATACATACGCTACAAGACCACAGCCACAGTAATAGTCCTTAAACTAAATAAAATACGTTAGTAACATATTACCTACAATCATTGCATGTACTTATTGTGCAATTATTTGGAAAAATATTACCAATTTATTTACAATAAAACATCTTCAATAATAACAATAACTATCGAGAGTTTAATTTGTTTACGTAAATAGAAATATTTCCAGAAAAATAAAGTTAGTTCACACGATAAGGCACGATTGCTAAAAATTTCAACCCTTCATTCTTTCGTCATCAGTCGTCACATATTTAGTACCTAGGTACCTACTGATTAACAGTAAACCATTAAAACGAATTAATCTATACAATAGTAGTCTTATATTATGCACCACTTACGCCTGGAACACTGAAACACTACTCAATTTTAAGTTGCGATTTAGTCAAAGTCTCTCTGCCACTTTTCTGTAGCGACAGAACACAAAATTAACGTAACATCATTACATGGAATACATGGTGCCAGCAGTATTTAAAATACCTTAATGTTTAGACAGAAATAATAATATTCTCGAACCCTTTTGCCTATCTCCCAAAAATATTTGAAGATTAAATAATGGACAGCAGATTAATGGAGTTCTTACAACTGGATTATAGCTCTATTTACAATAGGCTATATACAAAAGGCGAGGTATTAGTCAGGCTTATTTTAAATTCCTATATGGAGAGACGCTAGATAAAAATTCGTTCTCTAAAAATAGTTCTGCCGGCACCCATGCATCATTGAGAGGCGTTTGAGTATTTGGGCATTAGAATAACTAGGCACACGCAACATTATCTAGTTAAATGTAACACAACTAAAATTTTAAGTATATTTTGGCTTCAGATCTCCTTCAATGGGCTCTAATTGAGACAAAACTGCGAAACTATAATATGTATATTTCGAGTCTTTGTACTTTTAAAACCTCTAAACCTATTTTAAATGCATTTATCTGACTTAATCGAATTATTGCAAAAGCAAATAACTCTTGCAGTTTTGACAAAGATTTAAGGACTGGTCAAAGGATACAAAAACTCAATACAGGGAACATAATCATGTAAGGTCTATAGGAAGAGTGTCTACAAGTTTCCTTCATTTTTTCTTCGTTCAAAAAATATCTCCTTGCATGCAAAATTCACTGGATTTGGCCAATCCTTAACTATGGGAATGTATCTAATTGATAATTTCGTATTCGAGGTACATATTTAGGACTGTAAACATTAATTAAATTATTCATTACATGTAACTTGATCTCTCCAAATTTTATCGATACAACTAAAATAACACTAGTACATTTTGTAAATAAATGTAGAATAAAAAATCCGAGTCTTACAGAATATTAATTTCCATATTCATGAACGAATGCGCCAAGGCAATGTTAAACCATTACAATGGCGGCGAGTGCATTCACTTACATTTAAGGTCATTCATGAATACGGGAATAAGGCTGGTATTCACACTATGCAGATACATAATTTATTATTCATCACATGCATTAGTGCACACTCATTCTTCGGCAGACGGTACATTTGAATGCCAGCTACCTATGCTTCGTTCACACACTCATCCGGCAGCTACCAAACTGCTTGAACTATTTTTCAATAGAGTCCATTTGGCACCAATGTGTTGTCCGCAACAATTTGTGTCTTCGGTTATACTTTGTCGACTAAACTTGTTGGGACAGTGCTCTTCAACTTCTCATTCTCTTCAGCGCGTTTCTTCTCCCACTTGCTAATCCTATTGATAGGATAGCACATAACTGCTGATAGGAGTATAAATGCCCCGGATACATAGAATGATATAGCATAGCTTTTTGTGGCATCGTACAGCATTCCTGTGAAAAACAAAAACATATTTTAATAGGTCGGTACGATGAAATCTACTAATGGTGCATAATTAATCATAATAATCAGTAAAAATAGAAGCACTATGAAAACATGACTGACCCACATCATAAAATACTTCCATTAATAAGTTTTTATAGGACTACTACTAGTCTGTTAACTGAATTTAATAACTATGCGGGTGCTATCGTTTACTATCGAAGGTCAGAATTTTACAAAGAAATGCTGCATGAGATCGAAGCAAAACTTATTGAATAAATATTGATCTTTTAACCACAACAAATATAAAAATCTTACCAGCAATTGGTGAACCGATTAAAGCACCAATTCCTTGGAAGAGGAGGAAAAGGCCAAAGCAGTTGGTCAATCGTTCGAGTCCAAGGAATTCAACAACGACGATGGAACGCAGAGCAGCGAAGCAAGCTGAAAATAAATCGAATGTTACTTGACTGAAATATAAAATACAAAAATATAGATAATGAGTACCTACGAGAACCGGTAGAAGAAAATGTAGAAAATGTAAATAAGAATTTAATAAATAAAAGAAGTCAACATTCCCAGCTCAACAAAATACCAAAAGTTTGAACTTACCCACAGAAAGACCGAATATGACGCAGTATCCGTACTGGAAGTAGGTGTCGAAGCACAAGTTACTAAGCATAGTAGCAAGACCGCCCATGGTGAGAGCAATGTTGGTGACCAACAACGGGGACACCTTTGGCATGGATGACACCAGTCCACATACCAATCGTCCAACAATGTTTGCTACTCCAATCGAAGACACCAACCATTCAATAGCCTCGGGTGGTACATCATTTTCACGCGCTCTATTTTGCACGTACACGAAGGGCACAAAGAAACCAGTCATTGTGAAGAAACCACTGAGAGCCAGAATCACGAAAGTTACAGACTTGAATAGGCTGACGTCCAAGAGGGTGGCCAAAGCTCTGCGCACGGCTACTGGGCAAATTCGGCATTTCTTTGTTTCTTCTTCCTTTGCGTCTTCAGGTGACGGTACGTGTGTTACAGCCAAATGGTATCCAAGAGATGTTCGTGACGTATATTGAGGAAGTCTGGCCAAACTAGCTCCGAAAAAGATGTCTTCACGGTACAGGGGTCTGGCAACCAAGTCAGCTGTTGAGCGGCGTTGCTGACTAAAGTCGTTGCGAGACATGACTCGGAGTACTGATCCAATCAAAGGTTGAGTTGCCTTGTCAGGAGTAGTGTTAGAGTCTTCTTGTTCGTCTTTTTCGCTGACCGTGGCATAAACGGGTTTAGGTCCCAGATTACTTTTAATCGTTCCTGCAGTAGCGGAGGATCGTCGCTGACCATTTATGTATGTACTGCTTCCACGGAAGACCTCTTCTGCTGTGGGGTAACGCGTGTTATTAGAAACGCCCATCCATGTGTGAGGGCTGGATTTGGTTGCGAATTTCATGTCAGGTGGCATTCTTATGCCGGAGTCGAGTCTGTTTTCGAGTTTCATCATATTCTTCTCCGCTAACTTCTCCGCCGCTATTTTTTTACGTTCCACTTCATCTTCTTCAGATGTCGCGGCTTCTTCTTCTACTACAACATGTACTGGCTCGATTGGTTTGAAGGTTAATCCAAAAAGGATACACAACAACATCATACCTGAAAATAGATGTTACAATATTAGACCTCTCACATTAGGATAATATCTCACATTTTTCCTTAATTAGCTTACCATTGAACTGGACAAATTACAAATGTGACAAATTAATTCAATAATATCTCACCGGACTGACTGAAGATCGTCATCCTCCAACCATAATTATCAACAAGCGACTTGGTGATGGGCGACATGACAAAGACTCCAACTCCTGAGCCGCAGAGAGCTATTCCTGTGGCGAGAGCCCTCCATTTCTCGAAGTAGAATCCGACGGTCAGCACAGCCGGCATGAATATCAGACATACTCCAAATCCTAAAAATAAACAATAAAACTTGTTTTTAGTGCTTCTCAAAGACGCATACCAATAAGACGCTTCATAAAGGATGCTTTATGGATTTTAGTCCCATGAGAAGTGATAACTGGTAACCCATAAGGTAAGGTGATTTTTTTATGGCATTAATCGGTAAACGAGCAGACGGATCACCTGATGGTAAGCAATCGGCGTCGCCCATGGAAACCTGGGATACCGGAGGCGTTACAAGTGCGTTACCGGCCTTTTGGGGATTAGGAGTTTGAGGATCGTTGGGAATTCAGGGATTGGGGAGATTGGGGAAGGGGAGGGTAATTGGGCCTCCGGTAACCTCACTCACACGACGAAACACAACGCAAGCGTTGCTTCACGTCGGTTTTCTGTGAGGCCGTGGTATCACTCCGGTCGAGCCGGCCCATTCGTGCCGAAGCATGGCTCTCCCACACTTATATAGTGATAGTTAAATATTAATATCTTTCACGATCCTTACCTCCGATTACTCCATAAGTAACGTACAGATATTGAGGACTAGTGGCGTAGTAGGAGATAGCGAAGCCAGCTGCGGAGATCAAACTCCCTAGGATAGTCACCTTTCGGAATCCGTATCTGCAAAATAAATAACATTAGTTTAAAATCCCTTTCTAGCTACAAAACCAGTGTTTCTTAAGACTTTGACTGCCAATAAAAAACTGTTGAAAGTAAATCCTCCGCTAACGCCGGTCACCGATGACCCCCAGGGCGTTTAACGTGTTAAGGAACAGTTTCTATTTTAAAGTTTGTTTATTTTGAGTTTCAAGTTCGTTCTGACTTACACATTAATGACGCTGTTAACTAGTTTTATTGTTTTCACAGTTGAAATAAAGAGGCCTTTTTAATTTTATGTACCTGTAAATCTACATAAGAAATTGTATCAGAGGAAGTTATTTTATATCTGTTCAATGAATTAAAACTCACTTGTTTGCCAAGGCCGAGGCAATAGGTCCAAGAAGAAGGTAAAATCCAGCAAGCAAGGAGTTGATCGGAGCCACTTCGATTTCAGTCGCCTGCAAAGCAAAAAAGAAAACGGTTCAAAATAATTATAAGTAATATCTATTAGATTCATTATTGTAACGAAAATTTACGTTAAATAAATTAAATCAGCTTTTACGAGCAAGTAATTAAAACGAAGTCTAAAACCATTACACTTCAGTCGCAAATCATATTGAACTCTATCCTTGACACAAATGACACAGAATTATTTGGCACGCTATTGCTAGAACAAAACCTAGCTAGCTTAAAATATATTATATTCTAGAACCGTATTTCGTATAGGTCATATCAACCCACATATAATTTGTGCGAAATTCTAAACCAACATGTAAGTTTAAAGAAATTACAATAATAATTACCGTTTACCGTTAATATGTAAATTATTCGCAAACACTACAGGAAGTAACCGCTAAGGATATTGGCGATGAATACTTAATACGACAAATTCCCACAGCAGTCATTCAAGGCGGCTTACTCGAAGATATTGTACAAAATAACTTCAATAAAAAAATGTTAGTGTTGCATTGATTAGTGTTTATACAGGTTGAATGGACACGGTCGCATAAAGCAGTCAATGTACACGTATCACCGCTTTCAAATCGTTACAAATGAATGATTCGAGTGCGATGTGGAACTTGGAAGTAAATCGTTGACTTCCCGTCGCCAAATAGCGAATAAGTTTACGTCGTCATGTATAAGCTTCACTGCGTCCTTATTTCGTAAGTCCTAAGAGCTATTATCGTTGTGTTCATTTGAGCATACTCTGATCGAGTGGCCCACTGGCCTTCTTGTGCGACAGACATGTGACAGATGTACGATCTATGCACTTTTAATTTTAATTAAAGTGACATTTAAATGGATAGCTGTGGTTGCGTCTTGTTAGCCCAGTTTAGAGTATAGGTATGTACTCAGAATATCAGATTCACTTGGAAATACTTCCGCTTGAGAATATTAGAACATAACACAACCAAACAACCTGTTTTTTCCGGTTGACACAAGATTAGTCAAGCGCTTTCTGTATTCTAGAGCACGCAGTGCAAAAAATCCAAATAAAAAAGCGAGGTGATCGTCCGCTAAAATTGCAATCAACAGAGTAAGTTTATGCAAATCACAAGTTGAATATCGGATCTCGACGCATACCGCCATAAGAAAATGACGAGGAATTTCCGAACATCGAATTCTAAGATAATTTTCCTCAAACATACCAAACATTTCAAAATATTCGGACATTAAGACATCTCATTTGTGTATGTAACTGTGTATAAGGTAAACACAAGTTAGCTACACGGGAAAACTAAGTACCGTAGCTCTTTACAGCGTCTAGGCACGTTCATTTAGTTAGTCTGTGTGGTCCTATTTGCTTAAACAAGATGCATAGGCTTCTCAGGCGTGCGACTCTGAATGTCAGCATAACGGTGCAGTGAGCTTATGTTATAGATATTGAATTACAACGAGGCCCTTAGTCCAAAGGGCATTGTACTTGCTTTTAAGTACATGGCTACTGTTACAGTTGCGTATTAAGGTATTTAGTTACGACTATTAGATACGTTTTGTAAACCAATCTCAAGTGTTATTGTTTACAAAACAATGATATCTACTTTCATTCATATCTGTTTCAAATTAATACGAATTATTCATCCTTCATTCATAATCGCACATCAATTTGGTAAAAAGACTTATAATTATAAACAGTTGCAACAAATATGGCAATAGGCTTACCCCCCTATTACATGGGACTCATAACATAAATAGTGAAAAGTGGGTGTTACATTGTACAGTCGTATGTATAATGTGCACCTCTGCCTACCCCTTCGAGGATAAAAGGCGTGATGTTATGTTATGTTGCAACAAAGTCGCAAAACCAAGAGATCGTTAGTTAGTTCAAAGCATAACTCATAACAATCAATAACAGCCTTTCTAAACTAAAGTCTATATTGGAAAAGTACCAGCCAATAACAATAATAGACTATCAAAAAGTATAATAAAGGACATTGTTACAAGTTCAACCATTAGCTGAACGTGATTGAAATGACCTAGCCATGCTAAGTGGTTTAGTTCTTTATCACTTTGACTAGATAACCCTCTAGGCACAAACTATCAAACTGTATTATTGTATTGTGTAGATAAAGTTTAAGCTGGGGCAACGCACTTGTAACTGCCCTCGTGTTGCGGGTGCTCATGGGCGGTGCTAATTGCTTACCAGGTTTTGTTTACCACCTTTCCCATAGTTTTGTTTATGTAAATCTCTTCGTAGTCGTGTGGAGTTGTCATCCGTCTGTGAGTACCTAATTGTCCCGCTACAGGGCAAAAACCTTTTCTTACACTGAGAAGGAATGAGCTTTATATCAACTTTGTTCAAGATAAGATGGATAGCGATCAGTTATATAGTACCTATTTGAAACAATATCTGAACAAAATAAAGATCACGTTTCGTCAGTGTCTTTCCATAAATATCTAATTTTTATCGGATAGGGTGCAAATAAGCCGACGGATGACCACCTGATAGATCAAACGCCTTTTTATTTAAAACTTCTTAAGTTATCTTAAAAATATGTATACGTATATAGTAAACTAGCGACCCGGCCCGGCTCCACACGGATGCAATATGCATGTATATATAAACTTCCTATGTGTATAAACTATCCTATATGTATATACATCCTATATATATTATAAGGAATATATATATATTCCTTATAATATATAAACCTTCCTTACGAATCACTCTGTGTATTAATTAAAACAAACTGTATCAAAATCCGTTGCGTAGTTTTAAAGATCTAAGCATACATAGGGGCAGACAGACGGCGGATAGCGACTTTGTTTTATACTAGCTATGTAGTTATAGTAAATTATGGATATAATACATATTCAGGTAATTCAGGGCTAGTGCGTAATAAGCTAAGTTTAATTGGCCAAGGTAAGAAACATCGCAGCTCCAGTCTATATTTAGTAAGATTATATAGTTTCTAGCAATTACAGTTCATGCGATATAATTAGTTAGACTTCATAGCGGTTTAATTTCTCTTCGGCTATTTTTAACATTATATCGATGTTCTAGTATCTGAAGATTAATGGTAATTAGGCAAGTTGTGAACGTAATTTTCATGAATTGAGTTCTATTGGGTACAGACTAAGAATTTGGAAATTGAAAGCCCTTATTTTAAACGTAGCTAAAACCATTATGTTAATCTAGTGTGGCTTGTCCCCTTTTTGATAAACTCAATTTAAAATATTCTGTACTAGCGACCTATGCGACCGTGCGACCCCGGCTTCACACGGGTGCAATATCCATGTATTAAACATATAAACCGTCCTTAAGAATCCTTTTATCTATTAAAAAAAAAACATCAAAATCCGTTGCGTAGTTTTAAAGATCTAAGCATACATAGGGACAGACAGACAGCGGATAGCGACTTTATTTTATACTATGTAGTGGTAACTCCATTTTTTAATGTATTCCACAATAAAAAATTATTTAGAACTGTGCCTTAAACATAACCTTATGGAATTTTACAAACGAAAGTTTCGCCTGCACCCGTGCGCGCGGACTTATCGCGCCGAACGTATCACAACGAGGTGGCGCTTACGCACTTTGCCATTACGTCGCCGTCGCCCGTATAATCACTGGCATTCCATCAAATACATTGTATATTTTGAACCTTAAGCGTATGGATATAAAGATACTAATGTCTGATGTACAAACAAGAGACGCAAATTGTTGTTGTTTTCGTAACTGTAAAGCGGTTGACGCTAACTTGCATACTTGACCCTGCTATTACCAATGCAAAATTGTAGACTTTTATGTGACTAGGAAGACTTTGTTTTGAAACTAGCTTCTTGTTCCTAACATTGTTTACCCGACTTCTGACGAGGGTAATGTTTGTCAATAATGTGAACAGATCATACATAGATATTTCGTACTTATGTTTATATTTTGAACAAGTTTTCTGTTGCCTACCTCGTCAATCGAGTGTTTAGTACGAATACTAAACATGAGGTATTGTTTAATTCCCGGGTTAGGCAAAGAATTCGTGAGCATTTTCCTCCTCTGCTTATACTTCGTACCATTGACCACTTCTACTATTGTATAACACTGCAGTATTACAAAACATAGCTAAAAAAAAATATTTGTTTTGCTCAAAAAATTTGGCAGTTACCCAGCGATTGCGTTCACACGTGGACAGATCTATTTATTTTCATACGCGTTGCGTTATCAGACGAAGTTTATTTCGATTACATAACAAGGCAGACAAAACAAGAAAATAATTTCTTCTCATAAAAAGTTCAAAACAGATCATAATTCCTTCAAAATCTTATCATCTCGCCTTTTCTTTTTTGAAAGAGTTACACAATAGGTGCACATTTTAAATGTGTCACCCGTTTTTGCCAATTGTAATTCCCAAGGGACCTAATCAAAATCTCATGCCGAACTTAAGTCTTATCTAAAGTAAAGTGAATTCTCTTACTGAATAATCCAAAAATATAAAAATCTAACCGTATTTGCCCAACTCTAGAATCCAACCTGAAACCATTTACTCAGCTCAGGCGCTTGCGACCACTCAACGAACGAGTTTAAAAAATGCATTCAATGAATCGATCTCTACCAAAACATTCGCTAATCGATAAACTGCATTCAATTCGATTTGATCCGAAACGTAGGACATTAAAAATGCAACCTGTTTCGTTAAATGGCGTCTCGAGGCCGAGATCGTTCGTTGACCCCGCACTGTTATGTGGGAACTTTATGTACTTTAGTATTGCAAGGGTTAGTGCACTTGCGATAGTGGAAAACTTTTAATAGAGCTGTTCTACTGGACTCGACTACACATTCATCATGTCACTAGAGAATGCGACAAGCTATTCCGACGATTTGTTTCTTGTTTGCTTCTCAAATTGGACATTGGGAATTTGCTTTAAGGTTTTACAGTTGGAAAGCACTCACTAGATCCCTTTGAAGATAGATAGAATAAAACATAGTAGTCTTAAATTTGAAAAGACTGGTTACAGGATACCGAATTGAAACCGTCATGTATGCAATGCAACAGCAATTGGGTACTTTCCTTAATCAAAAATAAATTATTTCGACTGTTCAATAAAATAAAATATTAAAAAATAATTACACTTACATTCAATGATTTTATGACCAACTTAATTTTAGTATTTTTCCAGCAATTTTTAAAGAAATTAGTATGATGTTTGACGCTAAAAAACCGTGACGTCACAAATTCACAATACACAATTGCGTGTAAAATTCATAGAAAACTGTCGTTTTTGACAGTTCGAAAAAAGTATTGACTAGTTAACAAGTAGGTACCCAATTGCAACATAGGTAATAAAGACTAAATAAGGAGATTTGCAACCCTTCTTATGTAGGTAGAAGAGGCCCATATAGTAAGTATAGCAGTGGATATCAAGGGCTGTTGAAAAATGATATTATTGTCATCATATCATTCGGAAATCCGGTGACCAACAAAAAAGGCACAACGGACAACCCTAGATAATACTGTTCGCGGCAAATTCCATTAGCTGGTCTCGATTTGACATCGAACTGGTGTAAATTGTGTAATGAATTGCCTTCAGACCGAGTGCGGGCTTCTGTGACGTACACAGAATACTAACATGATTTATGGAGCTGTTGACTTTTAATAATAGAAGTGCTTTAGACTCGTTTAGCGGTTAACGCACACCCCCATTATTAATTAATAGGTCAAATAAATGTTGGTACAGTTCAAACATTTCTCGGCAATGATTTTGATGTAGTGTAGAATACACTTCTTTTTCATTCTCTATGGCAAGCTGAGGGTTGAATCGTAGACCAGTCCAAACGAGTGAAGAATTGAAATGTTGGAAGAACAGAGGTCAATCAAGGATGAATCAAATTATACAAGAGGAATTTGGGACCAAAATGGAATGGATTTCGGACAAAAACAATGCTAAAGTACAGACCCTAAACATAACATCAAACTTCGTCTAATAAAACCATTAAACTAATGGAAATCCCCACAAACAAATACTTTAAGTCCAATAAATGTACCAACATAGATTGAATGAGTGACTGAATGAATGGATCGTTGTAATGAAGCCTTGGCCTTAACATTATGATAATTTTATTGTCCAATACTACATTGAGACGGTCAAGACGTAATTCACTGTAAAACCACAATTAGATAAGTAAGATACAAAATAAATCATTTATGATGAGAAATATATTAAGCTAGTGACACCCCTAAAATTTGCAACGCCTGAAAAAGGCCGTTAAGCTGTGCCTTTTATTTCATAAGACCTGTAATGACCTGTATGTATTACCTTAGAATGCAAATAAAGAGTTTGAGTTTGAAATTATCTTTCTTCTGCCTAGGGGTAAGTGAATGCCGTAAGTTTAAGATCTACTATCTATTTAACACCAACCGTATCAAAAGTGCATTTATTTTGTTTGTGAAGCATGTAGGAAACTTCTTAATTACATCTTCCAACGTAGAAACAGTATCGCACATCGTAAAAACAGCAATTTACAAGAAACCAATAGGAATTTAAAAGAGGTCAGTAGAAGAGGTCATTTGTTTTGCTTATAAACCAAAAATAAAAAAGAAACATCTCTTATTTTAATTTTGGTACAAAATCGAAAGCATTGAAATGAAATGATGTCCAGGGAAAACCCAAACAGTACCGTATGAAATTTCGATACAAAGAATTCAAAATATAACCAGTTTCGTCCAGTTTTAGTCAGACTCGGTATTCTAGTCACATTGTAGTGTTTTCGTTTTAGATTTTGAATTTGAGTAGAGCTGATACTTAGGTCTTGTGTTAGGCGTTAGACCGAAGTCTGTTAAACGAATTCTATGCAGTCAAATATTGGGTAATTAACAGAAAGACACAGGTACAATCGTATAATGATTCCTTTCTGACTACCACTCCAGCAGTAGCAATTTTATCTTTTAAAATAAGACCAAAAATCAAGATCTGTATTGGCTTCCCACATCGATGTAGCAGTAGATGACGATATCGACAACAGAAGTAACTTCCGCATTCAATATTCAATATTTTTAGAATAAATAAATAACTTTTTCTCAGAGCATTTCAATAAAATATTCTGCATCAGCGATTTAACCTGAATTATCTTTAATTGATGCGTCAAGACGGCGCCATTAACAAATTGCGTCGAATTCTCAGGTATCCTCATAATAATCGTAAAAAAAACATAATAAATTTGCAATTTCACTCTTATGTCAAAACTCGTAAGGTAGGTAATAGCGAATCAAAATTTCATAATACCTACTACAAGTTTTTCTAGTAAGCATAATTTCGCATGAAACTGTTGAAAGCCAATTTTTTTCTAACACTAATTACATTGTCGCTATTTTTTACACGCAAAAAATTGTATACCTCAACATTTTTTGTTTGTCAATTAAGTCAATTTATTTAAATCATATATTAAAATTAATCATCAAAATAGAATGTAAACTGCACACTACATCAATTTTGATTTAAAGTCAGAACAAGACTTGAATGAAAGAAAAAAAGCGCCAAGTGCAACAGTGCAAAGCCGGGCCACTCCGCTAGTTCCAACCAAAAACACGTGATTCTAACGCTAAATGTAGCACGATGACCCGACATGTGCTGGCTGATATGACATTAGATTTCACACTCGCTCGATAATCATCAGTATTCGTTTTCTTAGCGACCCACTTCAGCTAGAAGTAACCTTGGCGACCTCCACGAGTAGGATACATACATATATATGTAATTTTATTATCCTTCATAATTTGTTCATTGATCTCACATCCCAATATTAGTTTTTACTACCTTATAATTGGATTATGTTTGTCTCAATTTACTCTAAATTTCTAAAAACTTAAATGTAGTTAATTAAAGTTGCGTATCAACATAGAAGTGAAGAAATAAGTTTTCATTGTAACACTAACGAGAAAGTTCATAACAAAGAAAGCAATAATTACAGTAACAATGCGTGAGAGATTAAACTTCAACAGGATATGAGTGCACAACAACACCAGACATCTGGTACCACTAACACAGTTCAAAACGAAATGACCAAAATAGAAAGAGCTGTCATTTTTCGCGGTGTTATTAAAGTTGTACGTTATTCTAAGGATCTATTGATATTGGTTATATAGTTGAGTTATAAAACGGAATACGGAGGCATGGCAGTGACGCAATACTTAGTGTGTAATAATACTGCTCATGTGAGGGTGTGGACGACAGAAATAGAAGCGCACGAGACTTCCATCCGTTGGCGTCTAGCGATAATTTTTTAAAGCTTTTTGCAGTGTAGCTAGCCAATGTTATATAGGAGGATAATAAATTTTCCGTTTTATTCTTCATACAATACAGTGTGGGTTGGATCTATTTAAGCGATTGATGTATTTAACCTGCACTATGTATAACATTGAAGATCAAGAGGACTTCTAGTTTATAGACGTCGATCTTTTTCTAAATAGACCATCTCTGGCAAAGAATTCAACCTCATTTGGTTTTTTAAACTTAAATAGTTTTAGACTTACATTAAATTCTTTTCTAATGGCTGGAAGTATGGCTCCGTTGGATAAGATAACACCGTCCACCATGAAATTGCAGCAGAAGGATGCAATCATGACGACCCATCCCCAACCGCCATCTGGAGGTACGACCTGAAAGAAAATAAAATAGCTATAACGAAAAGAGAATACAAGTAATAAAGAATGAGTTCATCGAGAAAGAAAAATAAAATGAATAAATGAATGAAGAAGAAGGAGATATAAATAGACGAGTTGATTATATTGTTATACTTAAACAAATGGAATCAATAAATTAAAGTCTTATTCCCTAAAGAGTATTATTTAGATACGCTTTATTCCGCTGTAAAATTACTACCAAAACAAATAACCGATGTTTACTTAAGAATAAATAAATGATACTTCACGATATCTTCTTGAGTTTCTGTTTTCACATCACCTTTGCCTTTCCTCTTTAATAGATCTTCCAACCCAAAAATTATTCTATCTATCATTGTATTTTATTAATAACTTTTACAACTTATTGATTGTATCTTGTTGATTGATTGATTGAGCTGAGTTTTGTCAAACTCAAAACTGACAGCTTACACCAATGAGTTTATAAGAAAGAGATACACGACGTTTTTAAGTGCACTATGTTTATAGTTAAAGTGAAGGAGGTTCATTATTCACTGTAGTGACTTTTTTATATTTGATGGGCCGACGTTTGACAACTATTTCGCCTGGTAGTATGGTAGCAATGATGCCTAGCGCCATTTTTCACTAAAGACCATATTATGTACACGACATAGACTTCGATAAGATTTCTCCTTATTTCCGGAGAAATGACCAGTTTTCCATAGTCATAAAATTATCTTCTCTATCACTATATTAGCCACAGTGTACACTTCAGTTTTTTTTTAAATAAAGTTGCCCCACCTAGTATTTTATCCTGTATCGCGGATGTGTTTACAAACATACACTTTTTTATAGATACGGAGGCCAACAAGTAGACGGATCACCATCACCATTATCACAGTTTAAATACACATGACACCTGGGTGTCATGGGTCTGGACCCGAAACAACAATTTATGGATCACACAAAGAGTCGCTCCGTGTGGGAATCGAATAGCCACCGCGTCAACTGTGCAGTTAAACAGAACCGTACAGTGATCACAGGTGAAGACCTGTGATCACTGTGATTTGGAAGTCGGTAGAGAAGTCTACCGACTTCCAAATCAGTTGATTGGAAATGGATATGCATCCAGCAGATCCTTGCGACCTTAAAAGGTCATCTGGACGTCTATGCACCTTGCGGCTAAATGTTTAACGTAATGCTATGAAAACCATTAGTCATGATAGCCTTATCATCCATATAATTAAGTAGCGCTAAGTTCTGACGGTTATTTCGAAGAACTGGCTGATTGGAAAGGTTTCCTCGACCTAATATGAACAGTTGACGACAATAACCTCGTCGTGTGATACACTTGACCGCTAACACTATCAGTTATTTGGTAGGTATACCATCAGCTATCAATTACCAAATTACTCCAATTTGTGGAAAGACAGAAAAATCTGGGTTTTTAAACATTTTATTTAAGATAAAATATACAAAAGTGATGACCTCAGATCAAATAGGATGTATTTATTTTTTGTGATGAATGTTTCCTCTTCCTCTTTGGGGCGTGGAAAAGGTGTGAGTTTGGTATTTTGAACATTCTGAAAACTTATTTGTATTAGAATAATTCAATTAAGACGAAAGTTTCTGTTTTTATTACAAAGAGTAGGTACTGGATCAAGAAAGTTGTAAATTCCTTTAAAATAAAAAAAAACTACTTCACATGGAATTCGATAAAGCAAGACAATCCAATTTGTATCTTTCTGATATAACTGGGTTTTCGTTATCGGGATCCGTTGGTTTTCTTCTGTTGTTGTAGAATCTAGTTCCAAGCCCAGTATTTAGCAAGCCAATAAAATATACGTGCCCAATACAAGTGTAGCCCATGCTAAAGCATCTAAAACCACCTCCGCTGCTTTCTGGACTATTTGTTTCCTTCTTTGCCACAGTCTGTTCAAAGCCATCGTTACTTATAAGTTTCGTTCACCGCCAAAAGTTATTATAATTCGATTACAACAAAAATATCAAGACTGTCATAGTAATCTCAGCGAAAGCGAAAGAAATTGTAGCCAGAAGACAAACGTTTATAAAGCGTGCTGCGACATTACGAATTATTCTTCTCCTTCTAAGCTTCTTTTCGAGGGCTGACATTGTAGGCTATTTACTAGAATTCTTCTATCTTTATTGCATACCTGGGTATATTATATCGACATGGTCTGTTGATATATTGATATCTAAACGTCCCCGCAAGTGCAGACGCTAACACATTCAGATTTTACTTCTATAACATCAGTCTGACATTGGGTGGAACACTGTCCAAAGTTACCGCAACCCACTGGTTCAAAACCCGATATTACCCAGCAGATATGTGCACCAACTACTAAAGCTATACATGTATTAATACATGACAGTTTGAACATATCCAGAGTTGGATAATCGGGGACATCTCGCTTCGCCCCATTTGATCTGCTTGGTCTCAGTTACATAAATCTGTTGGCCATGTATAATTTTCACTGTCACAAATGACGCTGAACACCAGTTGCTTGTCATTTTTATTTTATTTTTAACTTCATTGTCTATTGACAATGTATGAATGCTGTAAGGTTTTAATCTCATGTCCCATTTTTTGTGATAGTTATTTTAGAAATGGCTTGGCCATAGCTTATCTTTAAATAAAAGTTAAAGAACAAAGAACTTTGTGTAGTTGTCCGCGTAAGGTGTAATTTTTTTCTATACTTTTCTAGTATTGGGAGAATAATTACCAAAGCTGCTGCTGGTTCCTCTTCACTGGGGGTTTCATCAGTGGATCCCGTTTTAAAGGGCCGCTCATCCGTCGCCACTCGTTGCTTCATCGTGTTTCAATCCTGCAACAATACAATATTCTTCTATTAAAGTAAACAAGATAATTAAAAGTCTCAAACTGGGAAGTACGTGTTAAACGGCTTTTAAAATAAGAAAAATCAAGAACTAAGTGGCACATAATACTGTAGATGGATAATAATATATTTATTACAGTATTGTAGTATCAAATTAGTCTTCAATTATACAAGTAAGTTGCACAATTTAGAATTTAAATGACCAACTTTTGATGATGTATAATCGGAAGGGAATATGATACAATGTGTCCAATTACTTAATTGAATGATTGGTTAAGATGACCGGGTTGTCATAAGACAATATGCACCAGGAAGGTCATTAACCTAGTCACGTACTAACCAAGAGAAGATCAATAGTGTCAATAGTGCTGTCGGCTAATAAATAAGAAGTAGAAATAGTAGAATGATTAAATGAGAGTTCAGTACCGAACTATTGGAGGCTACGTTCAGCAGGGTTACGAAGCGGATGCTGATAATATTATTTTGTTAGAGATTTCATATTTGGTCAATTGTTTACTTGATATCAAGTTAGGATACAAAGCAATTAAGGTCCTAAGTATCTATCCTACCTCTTTAGAGGCATACAGAAGTCTGTAGCCGTCACAAATTTAGCTTCATATTGCAGTTTAGGAATACGATTTTAGATCTTAATCCGGTCCAGTATGCCTTGACTAAAGTTAAGTAATCTTTCGATTTCTACCTATAAACTAACGCCTTCGCAAAGTTTTATGAATTACAAGTGTATTAGACTATTAGAATTACTTTGTGACGTTGTAAATTCTATTTCGTGTTTTACAATTAGGTATGATAACTAAGTTTTCATTACTGTGTTAGGAATGTGGTAATAAAGAGACTGGTTTCGATTAGAGTTATCAAAAAATTGGTTCTACAAATCCATTTCATTCGTACATTAATATGTTTAGGGTCTGTTGTGTCCATTTTTTTGGTCCTATTTTTCCCTACTTACCTAGTAATTACTTTTATAGCTAGGAATATTAAACCTATAAATATTTATTGACCTCCGACAAATCCTCGTTTCAAGTTCTCTTTATTAAATCGTACTTTACGACTGTCTTAGAATCCGTTTTACTTTATTATTATTAACAAACTAGATAAAGTTATTAAATAAGATCATTTACTTGTAGTTCATCAAGTATATTTATACTATGCTTAAGTCAAGGAACGACAGCCTTTTTAAATGCAAGTAAAAACAGTTAGAACCCATAATCTGAATCGGTTAACTATGATAAAATGGTCCTATAAAGTAAGTAAAATTAGAAGCTAATTTAGCAAATAACATATAGCATTCCTGGCTATGTATCGCAATAAACATAAGTATGCATTTATAAATAAATAAATAAGTACATATAATAAGTAAACGATTTAAATATATGCGAGTGCGTTGTTGTATAGTCCACGTAGTTACAATAGTGTGAACCAACCGGTATTAATTTATGATAAAAACGATGCGTGATAGACTATTGCAAAAACAATGTTTGTTCAGGCGAAACTAAAGTACGCCATTCAATGGTATCTAGTCAACCAGAAAATATACGCACTTAGGTCTATATTTACTACGCAATAACATACTGTGTCGAATGTTTGTTAAGAATTTGCGTACACCTATAATTACGCAAATTAAATGGTCGTCTGGATTTTTGGAATAACTATTGTCGAAAAGAAACATAAAAGACGTAATATTATGCATAGTGCGAATTCCCAATATTATCTATACATTGTTTTCAGGGCTTCAGAACTGAATAGGTACTTAATGAAAACGGTGTTGAAATGCAGAGTGTATCTAACTTTAAAGTTACAATCTGAATGAGCTACGCTACGAACTTTATTCAGGATTGTCGGCGATTTTACAATCTATATTCAAAGAATAAGTTTTTTTTTTAAGGGGTGAAAATCATCGAATGACTGTTTCCGCCTGGGTGAGGCGGGAGGGAGTGTCAGACTCTTACTGACTAAAAACCACCCCGTTCCTTCTTCTGCACGTCGAGCCGGAGCCCCGGTTACCCGTTAGGTTCTCCGCGACTCCGAATCGGCATCGGCCCTACTGGGCCCCATCCGTGGTGGTCTGATGGCTCTTTGAGGAAGAATAAGTATCAGAGTTGCTCTTTAGGATTTTATTGCATTATTAAAGTTATTCGGACTATGTGTCTCCTACATAGAAAAAAATAGATACACTTTCTTATTGTATGAACTGTTCAAGCTAGATGTCCATTACCTCATTATACACAGATAGACTCCTTTTACTGTTATAGCTCTAGAATTATCATAAAAACAATAAGGTATAAATATCGGTAAATATTATTATGTAATCGCTATTTACATTTGTCATAGATTGCGTAAGGTCAACACTGATGTTGTACAATAAATGCTTGACCCATATTCATCTAAGACGTTGTTTACAATAGAAAACTTTGATAGAATAATACTAATCAAGTTTGTATTTAAATAACGTGTTTTGTGTTGTTGTGTATAGTGTTTGTAAACAAAAACAAGAACAAGGTGAGATAAACCCTTATTAAAATCTTAAGTTATGATAGTTGTGGCAAATTATCGTGAAGTGCTTCGAAGAGTATAGAGATGGGCATAAAGAAAAAATCAGATGACTCTTTTCAACAAATTTAAACGAAAGGTTGAATGAAAGTAATTGTGAATAGAACAGGATAAATAAATACACAGATTATAATTATTTCGCTTTCAGACGAATATCAAACATCTGGAGATTTCGATCAACAATGTTGTTATTATTGATCGAAGTCTGGAGAATATAATTATGATATTTTTTTTCAAAATAAATGAATGCGAAGTAAAAGCTTGTGATTGCTCACGCTTAAGTAATGCGAATATATCTTACAATGACTGCACGGTTGGTGCAGTGGCTGGGCAACCGGCTGCCGTGCGACGTGTCGCGGGTTCGATTCCCGCACGGAACAACACTTTGTGTGATCCACAAATTGTTGTTTCGGGTCTGGGTGTCATTGTGTATGTGAACTTGTATGTTTGTAAACGCACGGCCACGACACAGGAGAAAATCCTAGTGTGGGGCAAAGTTTTTTTTTAAAAAAAAAAGTATACAATAGTTTATATAGTAGAATTACGATAGATACACTCCAAAGGAAGCTCCAAACTTGAGGTCAATGATTTTAGATTTCAATAGCAAACACGCAATTTATTTGTTTTCTGTCCCACTATTGGTCGGGTTTGGTTATACATTCAAGGCCACGGACTATCTGTTCAAACCACGTGTATCAGCGACGCGTAAACAAAGCTACGGTAACATCATTTTGCTTAAAACTTTAAACAAAAATAACGTAACATTTGTTTAAACAAAAATACGTTACAATAACTTCGTTAGTTAGTGACGTGTATAGTCTACTTCGATAAATTTAATTAAAATGCGGTTTATACTGGTTTTGCTCTAATTTAGTTATTCATTGTTATGGGTGCTTTTGAAATATTTGCTGATAGTCGAATGAATTGCGTGTTTTTCCTGAAACATGAGACCAACTTCCGAAGTTACCTATTCGTGGAAATATTTATAAATAATATTTTAATTTAATGTTTTCCGTTATCCTTATTGTTTAAAGGAATGATTTGTTTTTGTTTGTTTTAAGATAGGATAGATGTAGAGCTTCTTTACATGAGCCTGAAAGTTCAAGAAGATTTAGTGTAATGTTCACATTCTGAGATAAAATTATAGACATTGTCCACAATATCCATCATAATCAGAAAAATTATCACTATATTTCTTACTAGCGACCCGCCCCGGCTTCGCACGGGTGCAATATATATATATACATACAAACCTTCCTTAAGAATCACTCTATCTATTAAAAAAAACCGCATCAAAATCCGTTGCGTAGTTTTAAAGATCTAAGCATACATACGGACATACAGCGAAAGCGACTTTGTTTTATACTATGTATTGATAAAATAAAAAGAACACAATTTTATTTACAGAATTGTTCTAGAAACTCGCATTTGAATAGCATAACCAAGTTGATTTCGATAGCAGACGAAATCGTACGATACAATGAAAACATGACGCATGCGTACTAGGTAGGTATATTTATAAAAATTTTTTCGACAGTTGACCTTGTGCAGACTTTTTATTAGGTTTTTCGGCCAAAGTATTTGCTGAAATGGCTCAAGTGTCAGTTTGTTGTGGTTTGTTTAAGATTCAAAATATTCCCAAATATTTGGTTACTCAATTTGTTTAAGTTTTATGTACGGAAATACTGAAAAGAAGGTGACGTTACACCAAAGGTATTTGTCTAACTTCCGTTGCTTAACCATATGGCAAGCCTCTGTAGTTTTTTTGGTTCGATGTTGAACCTTTTTGGTCAGTTGGTCAGCTTTTTCAGTATGAAAAGATCGTAACCTTTTCAAGACCTTGATTTAAGATTAGCTCATAAATACCGAGTCTTCCAAATCAGATTGAATGTCAGTTATAAGGCAGAAGTCCCTGGCTAGCCTATTCAAATAATGATTCGACATACGATCGTTTTTCCTTCATCAATTAATTAATCGAACCAATGAGCCTAACAATAAACGTTTTTTCATAAAAAAAGCTTTTAATCTCACTGAATTGCTACTAAATATTAATTAGTAAGTATTTGAGCTGTTTGTGTATAATTCTGATAAAGGAAAAAAGCAAATCATAAAAATATGTTTTTCTAAATATGAGAGACATTTCTCTGAAAGTATTTGTGTGAATATTGTGAATTTTCGTAAACTGACTTCATTAAGTAATAGAGCCGTTGTCTAGCTCATGTTAGACATCTGAAGTTATCGGTTATTCGATAAAAATGGCCTAATGTAGCCTAACTACCATCATACTATTACATGACCATACACGTGACGTGAATATACTTTTATCCCCAACAAAGCAAATAAGTAAGTACTTAATAACTTGCTCCAATATCTGATACGGGCGTTCGTTGGTCGACCCGGCTGACACAACTACCTACTGG